GTCCCAATTGTTTCCAATAGAAGCACTCCTGTACGCTTTTCCTAGTCCCGGGTCCCAACCAATGCAAAAAAGGACAAAATTCTAGGAGAAAACGTCTGGAATTTGTGTTTCTTCCAGGGTTAAGTTACTCCGCAGAGTATCCAACACAATAAGTGAAGCTAAGTCCAGCAGCCACTGCGTCCGTCCGAAAATGTGGCGGTAGCCATATTATATCAAATTTAAACAATATATGTACAGTTCAGAAGCAAACCCAAAAAATTCAATAAAAGTACAAATATAGAAAGAATAACAATATACAATGATAAAATCTCAAATTGGAATCAAATAAAATACCAAAAATGTCAAGAGAAAAAGTCCATCATGTCATAGCAAAAATATGTAAACATGGAGGGATTTTCCAAAACACAAAACATTCAAAAAGAATTCTACACTCAGTTCTTTGCCGCTTTCGTAAAGTTTCAGGTTGATGCTTTGCCTGATGAGCTAGTGAGGAGTGATATAATTACTTTAGATGGAAGACTTGTAGAATCCTTTTTGAATGTTTTGTGTTTTGGAAAATCCCTCCATGTTTACATATTTTTGCTATGACATGATGGACTTTTTCTCTTGACATTTTTGGTATTTTATTTGATTCCAATTTGAGATTTTATCATTGTATATTGTTATTCTTTCTATATTTTGTACTTATATTGAAGTTTTTGTGTTCGCTTCTGAACTGTACATATGTTGTTTAAATTTGATCTTTAATATGGCTACTGCCATATTTGGATTGATGCAGTGGCCGCTGGACTTAGCGTCACTTATCTGTCACTGTGTCTGATACCCTTCGGAGTAATTGTACCGTGGAAGAGGCACTATTTCCAGGTAATGCTTTGTATTTCCATTTTTTAATTAATAAAGACGCTTTCTCCTAGAATTTTTGTCCTTTTTGATTTGGATTGGGATCCGGGACTGGGAGAATCGTACAGGAGTGCCCCTATTGGAACCCATTGGAACGGCCACTGTAGAAGTTCAATTACAGACTTCTGTTTCGTTGTTATTTTTGATTGGCTAACCAATACTGCATTATGAACAGACATCAGAAACACGGAGAGGGCTGACTTAAGATGAACCCACAGTACCATTTAGCTACTGCAGTATCACATCGACAGTGAACCCATCAACTTCGGAAGTTACATTCAGATGTAGAATCGCTGGTTGTAACTGGCATCGAGGAGACAATACAGTAATGTTGTGTTTTTCCTGAAGATAAGGATGCCTTTTGCTCCTATTCCTCTTCCACTCACTGGCCTTACCACAAGAAGAGTCGGGGACTTTTGAGTCGAGTGATGTTAACTAGGCACATAACTCCAAAGTTCACTGTCAAGTGAGGTTTTGAGCTTTTTTGAAATTCTTGCTATAAAGAGTGGGCTTTTCGACTCCCTACAAAACCCGGAACTGGTGGCAATGCTATTGCTGTACATGTTCCTTAACTGTCTAAAATATAAACTGTGAGATAATCTTGGGAAGAAAATACGCCAGATTTAAGTTCCGAGTGAGGAAAATAGCGATACCAAATAAAGCCAATGTATACTGAGCAAGAAATGAACCTGAAAGATACCCAAACGTCTAACGTTATCTTTGACCATCCAAGGTCGCTGATTCGCTTGGATCTAACAACGTTTCTACGGGTCCTGCGTTCTCAAGTGTGTGAAAGTGTGTATGCTGCCGTTGAAGACAACCAGAGAAAGAAAGATATTGGACTAGGATTATCACTCGTTCGAAATTACTAAATTCTTGGAAGAAAACCTGCAGGATCATAAGCGAACATAAAATAATCAACCGGTTCATACCAGTACGTGAGTATGGTTTTGAATATTGAGTCGACTCACAAAGACTCATAACTACGACTATATGATGGCAAATTTTTCGAAGTCATTGACTGTGATAGATTTTACCCTGTGAACAAATGACATTTATTCATCCAGTTGGGAACTTGAAACCTACCAACAGAAGCAGACTTTTTCCAATCACTATATGTGGTATGTGTTTTACTACATAAACGTGATTCTAAAAAGTCGTGTCTATTTGAAATTTGTTTACTAAGTCGTGGTGATGTTTGAATATGCCAACCATCATGAAATATTCAGTCCGTCATTGTCCTGGATCACAAAGTCAGGTGTTCACTTAGAGTATACCCCTGAAGACACTCTTAAAAGTGCAATATTTGTGGGTGAAGAGAATTCTTTGTCACCTGAAACGAAATCGATGTTAGCTATGGAGGTTCGCAACAATAAAAGTGAAGTTGAAGTTAGTTGTAATTTAGATTAAAAAAACAAACGTTTTATACCAGGTTCAATCCACTCAGTCCAGCTCGAAAAGTAGGGTTTTGTTTTTTATGATAAGTATTATTGGGTTGTAGATGATCACCCGACACCAAACAATTTATGCTTCTCGAACAAAACTTGTGAAGTAAGTGGTCTTTAATTTTAATGTATCCATGAAGAATGAAAAAAATAATCCTGTAAACTCAAAAGGACTCGACAACAATACAGGGGTTTTTAAGCGAACAATTTCCGTGGTAAGTAACTCGTTTCACATCCTGTGTATTTCATTAAAACATTCTGATCCATCTCGTATGGCATAAAATTTTTAAAAAGAGCATTCGTGTTCATGTATTGTGCACGCTCGTCTACGAACAGCAATGGAACAGTCAGTTGACCATTAGTGTCAAAGAATCGCGTTAGTACCTAGTTTCTGCTTACATGTATTGATTTGTAGTAGCGTAAAAATAAGAAAATTCAGTGCTTTTTTCCAATTTCTGATATCACTAAGGATCAGTGGTAATGAAAGCTTCGTAATTGTGCACGGCTGACGCTAGTTAAAATAATACATACTTGGGATACTTTATTCCTATTACTTTGAAGGGAAGCGACTGTTTGGGGCTGCTTCATTCACATGCCCACTTTATGAAGTAACAGCGGTGTTAGCTAACTTCGAACGAGTATAGCAATATATGTGTTCCTCACCACTAGTCTTATTTCACTCTCGAATATTTGAATGATACTGAACAAAACGGTTGCAATTTTTTAATCTGGGCTTGGCAATTCATCTCCAAGTCAGCTTTGAAATCTTAAATACTCTTGGTTTGGGTGGTGTAATGCATTTACTTGTTGTGCTAATGTGGTTTTAAAAGGTTTATTAACACGTAACATTATCGATGCGGTTAGTTTCTAGAAAATATCACTGTATTTCATGTGATCATCTCACATCAAGAAGAAGATAGAAAAATAGTAGATTTGATTGGAATTCCAAAATCACGCATCTCTCGATTTTTACTCAATGACTAAGTGGTACCATGTAGATCCTGATACACCGGACTATAACTCATTTGAAGCTAAGACTATAGACCTCTGAGGAGTGTCATTGCGTTGGGAAAAAGCATCCACCCAGTGCTTCCTACTTTTCTATTTGACATTGTTTCTTGTTGAAACTTCACTTCTTATTTTCGCTAATTAATAATTGATCAAGAACTACTCATAAAATAGATTGTATAAAAGCTTTATGAACCTTATAGTTACTGATAAGTAAACATATAACCCTTTTTGTCCATAAATTATATTTTCACATTTGAAACTTTATAAAATGTTTCTCTATTAGTTGTTAGATTAATTTATTTCTGACTATTCACTAGGACTGTGATGGTGATCCTTTGAATACTGATGTTAAGGAAGAGACTAAAGTGCCGAAGAAACCAACTTGTTTTTTAAAACGGCGTCAAGGTGTATCTGCTTGGTGTAGTAAACTACGAAAGCAAGGATTACCAGTCATTGATCCAGCAACAGAGTTACTGAAGCGTCAGTGTACAGATGCATCACAGATTCCAGTTTTTCGGAAATCCACTTTGAATAAACAATCCAATGTAAGTTTGTTTCCCTCTGCTTCTCTTTGTAATAGTGATTGTTGATTTTCTCTAAATTTTTAAAATGAATTAATTTTTTTTTCAGCATTTTTATTTAATAAACTCAAATTTTCTGAATTTTTGTACTTACATTTAATGCTAGAATATAACAATGTTTTTATTACCTGCATAAACTGACTTCTCTGTTTGTAAAAATTAATGTTTTGATCATTACATACTCAAGCTCATGAGAAGTCATAACTCAAGACCTGTCATCTGCTAGGACAGGATTTAAATGGTTTTAATTATTTTTCCTGGCTAGGGTTGTTTAGGTCAGTTGGATTTCTATGGGCTAGAGTTCGACAGTAACCTCAGAAGGGCTTCAGGTAGAGTCGTTTGAATCATTGCTTTCTAATAAATTATAGTCATCCGATAAAGTTTTTTAAGTTCTTTACAAATAATATCCCTATATATATTTGTCTTCCTCAATTTCCTACAAAATGTTTCCTATCAAATAGTTTTAAACTTTTATCATGAAATAAACATACGTTAACTTTTAATTAGTATTTGCCTAACCTAGTGCTTTATAGTTTTAAAGTTTAAATACATGGTTATCAATCACGTGAATTTCAGTTCATTGAAATTATTGATTAGGTTTAAACTCCAATTCATTTAAATTGATTGTATTCAGTAGTAATGGTGATGTTTTCATGAACTCGATCGTACATGTTTTCGAATGAATTTTACTACAGAATTGATTGTGGAGGTGTGACTTTTGCTATGTTGGGAATATTTATTATCATAACTGACTGTACTACTACACGTGACACATTCGTAGCATGATGGAGAAATATTTCTGTCGTAGAAAATGTTCCATTGTTCATGGGCGTTCTATAAGTAAACCATTAGTGAATACTGTGAATGGCAGAAGTATTTGTTAGGATATTCATCTAATATCCTAAGAGAATTATTGGTCAGTTCATATTGCTCAATTCTTATTGGTTAATTTTAAGGTCGTCCTAGATATCAATGCCACGCATTGGAAAAAGAGATCGAGGATCGAGGATCCGGCGACACGATATGCTACTCTAATCCGATTGTCCCAACCCCCATCAAATAAAAGAAGAAGACTTGACATGAAGTAGAACCTGTATTCTAAAAACACCCAGAAAGTACGAGGCCCGAGTCCAGAAGGAGACACTGATCCTGGACTAAAGATCAGGGTCCGGTCCATAAAACGTTACATATAATGCGTATTTATACATTTAAGTCGGAAAGGAAACAGCATCGAAGTCTGTGACATCGACAGTTATGACGACCAATAGGAAACAACATTTGAAGTGAGATCGACAGTCAGGACGACAGGCTATTCCGATCCAAGCGTCCCAAACCCACATTGAGTAGAAGAAGAAGACTTAATATGAAATAGAACATGTATTTTGGAGGCATCCAGAAAGTACGAGGTTCGAGTCCAGAAGAGAATCAGGATCCCGGACTATGGATCCGGGTCCGAATCATAAAACGTTTCAGATAATGCGTGTTTATACAGTTAGATCGAGTAGGAAACAACATTGAAGTACTTGACATTGATAGCTGAGACGACCATAATACTGACCAGTAAGAATTGACCTATAGAATTAGACTTACAAAAATAATTCTTTTAGCGTATTTTGATGAATATCCTAACAACAACATAAATCGCTTTACTCAATATAATGTAATGATGAGTGGAATAGGATCAGGTTGTCAGAGAGGTAGGAGTCAGCAAACCAAACTGTAGTATTGTTCAGTGAAGTCGCTGACTGTCGGAACTATTCGTGAAGCTAATCCTAACCAGTGATTGGATGTATATTGAGTGATGTGACTTAGAGGCATTCACTCTCTATTTCCCATCATAGATGACTTTTCATTCTGCATTCCCCATTGTTTTCCTTCACTTTCAGTAATTCTCACTACTAGTGTTACCACAATCGTTTTGATATTCATCTCACCAAAACATCAAAATTAGATGGATTGATGCCCGAAGTTAGATTTTACAACTATTAAGCCACCGTTGTGTTGTTTAATGATTACAAGATAGTCTATTTTTAATTTGATGGCCATCATAGAATGATCCTTCCCTGTGGACGAATAAATTCCGGTAAAGTTTTACTACCAATAAACCTGTCGATTTATCGAAATCTTTGAAAGTTTGCTAACAATTGAACAACAACAATAATAATGGTTTAAATCAATTTTGTTGATATTTCTGACTGATTTTCCGATTAGTCTTGGTTGGCTTATGGGTATCTTATTATTCGGATTATCTCAACATAGCTATTATGACACTAGTTAATATACGAATAGATAGAAAGTGGCTAACAGTGAAATCTAGAACGCACGTTTCGTTCTATTTGGGACTCATCAGCCAAACTGATCCAACTCCAGTCAAAGGTATAATGCGAATTATTTAAAATCAAATTAGATCTCATACCTATCACACAAAAAAGTATCTATGTGAACTCAGAAGCTAAGTGGATAACTCTGTTGTAGCATTTGAAGCAAACAGTACTAGGTTCGAGTCCTGGGGTGAATATCAACTCTAAGATGCAAATACATCCAGCTAAAGACTAATCATGGATAGGATGAAAGCTAGGGGCGGTCAAACCAAAACATGGCAGAAATTCATGAAGTCACTGACAAGTGGACTGAGTCATGTTGGTAGATGTAGGCTACCTGGTTGGGGTCCACGAGATGATAATAATCGATGGTTGGAGACCCTGAATGACATGGCTCAAAACCATTTGCAATGGCACAAGTGCATCCATTCGTTGTGTTCTCTCTAATTCTAACCTTCTGAATTCCTCATCATCTCTATCTTGCTCCTTCTAAATTTATCTCACTGAATTATACTTCTCGAATCATATCTTCGAACCCTAATCTTCTCCATTACTGCTAATACCTCTACTATCGCTATCACTTTTGGATTTGAACTGACAATTGCGTCTCTGTGCTGATGGGGCATGGCAACCTGAACTTATGTACTTACATACGACGTTCTGTGTTGTATCTGTCTGTCTGTCTGGATGAAACGAGTGTCAACTAGAATCCAGTACTATACACCACTACCCATCTATACTACTAGTACTTTAGTGAAGGAGAACACAGGTGAGGGCAACCGAATTGTATTTAACGAAAATTACAGAGTTACTCAGTAAAATCGGAAAACCATATCGTAAATCGTTCATTTGCAAAATATCAGTTCATCATATCGAACTGGACTGTTCCAGTTGCAAAACATCAATCCATTGTCATTATTCATGCGTTTCATACAAATTCCATTGTGTTCCCACTCTTCTTCCTTTCTTGATCTTCCCCTATCTTCTGCTGCCAGACATTACGTTGACACTCTCGTCATATACTACTTATAAGTAGCTCGCACCACACTAGTACTACTTACTTAAAATATTCTTATATGAAATTTTGAAAAAAAATATATCTTATGTTATTTACTTTTGTTTACTGTTATCGTGTGCATTCTTTTTTTTAATGAACAGTTGCCAAAATCAAGTCAACAACAACACGTAGTCAAAAAAAATCATGTTTTCAATCCATCCACAATGGAAAAATCAAATATTTCACAATATACTACTACTACTACTAATAATAATAATAATAGTAGTAGTAGTAATCAATCATTAACTAAAATCGAAATGAAAAATTCAAATTATACACCAACTACTACTACTACTACTACTACTACAACTACTACTAGTAGTACTACTACTATTCATACATCAAATGTAACAGAAAATAAAAATGCACTATTAAAAAATGTCATTAACAGTAATAATAATAATAATCATACCGAAAATTCAGTGAAATTAAAAAATTTCAAACATCCGCCAAATTTTCATCTTCATCATCATCATCATCATGCATTGCCAACATCATCATCATCATCATCATCGACATCATCAATGGAATCCACGGTTGATTCAATAAATTTCAATGATGATGAACTTACTAAAGAAGTGATTGATTTGAAAGAATTTGAATTACTTGAAGAATTTGCTGAAACATCATCATCATTTTCAAGTTGGAATACTGCATTTCTGTCAAAATTACATCAAACCAATTGTGCTGAAAAACAAACAACAACGACAATGAAAGTGGATTTATTGCTGAATAAGTTGAATGATCCATTGTCAATGAGGAGTTGTCATTCTAAGGAATCAATGAAAATGAGGTAACTTTTTTTTTTTTTTAAAAAAAAATTGTTAAAATAAATTACTGTGTAACTTCAACCTTTGGTGTTGGTTTGTGTTTAGCCCGAAGGGGAGTACCTTGTATGCTAAAAGGGGGCGGGGGAGTGTGAGGAGCAGCAGTGTATGAGATTATCTGAAAGATGAAAGAATAAGAGAAAGAGAAGATGGACCGACGACTCAGTCAGTCAGTCGCAACATAGAACAATATACGTATGTACATAAGTTCATGTTGCCATACCACGATAGCACAAACATGCAGATGTCAAATCAAATAAAGATAGTAGAGGTATTAATGGTAATGAAGAAGATTAGGGTTTGAAGATATTTTTCATGAAGTATAGTTCAGTGAGATAAGGTTAGAAAGACAAAGGCCGAGGTGCTGACGAATCCAGAAGATTAGGATTTGAGAGAGCTCAAAGAATGGATGCACTTGCGCCATTGCAAACGATTTTGAACCATGTCGTTCAAGGTCTCTAACCATTGGTGACTTTCATCTCGCTGACCCCAACCAGGTAGTCTACATCTACCAACATGACTCAGTCCACTTGTTGTCAGTGACTTCATGGATTTGTGCCATGTTTTAGTCTGGCCGCCCCTAGCTTTCTTACAGCCTACTACTCCTACACCACAAAACATAGCTCGTCGAGGCAGTCGGTAGTTAGCCATACGTAACACATGTCCCAACCACCTCAACCGATGAAGTCTCACTACTTCATCTATTGATCTGCTATCGTTACCTAGTACTCGTTTCCTAACAACATCATTGCTTACTCAGTTGTCCCACGATATTCGCGACGACTCAGTAAGCACATAGAATAATGCACTTACATGCAATATACGAATAAGTAGACAGCAACTAGATGATATAAAGCCAGCGTAAGATTAAGACAAACTGTTAAACGACACTAGGAGTTGATAGAGTCAGGTTTCGAATGTGTTACATACATTTGATTTATCTATATCGCTTGACAAAAATTTCATACAATAGGGGATATCGTAAAATGTCGCATCTTAAATAAAATGAATGCGTTGCGCAATTGATAAATCAATAAAACGAACAGAAATATTAGTTAGAACTACAATTACGAAAGATTTATTCTAATCAGTTTACTCCGTCCTACGTTATGGGTGTGAGAGTAGAAGATATTCATAGGTTACTAGTTTTCGATCGTAGGTGTCTTCGAAGGATTACTTGTTTATCTTGAGACTATCGAGTCAGCAATGTTGTTGTTAAAAAAACGGGTACTAGGTAGGGATAGCAAATCAATAGATGAAATAGTGAAACTTCATCAGTTGAGGTGGTTGGGACATGTGTTACTAATACCCAACCACCGACTTCCTCGACTAGCTTTGTTTTGCGGTGTAGGAATAGGTTGGATGAAAGTTAGGGTCGGCCAGATCAAAACATGACAGAAATCCATGAAGTCACTGACAAGTGGACTGAGTCATGTCGGTAGATGTAGACTACCTGGTTGGGGTCCGCGAGATGATAATAATCGATGGTTAGAGACCTTGAATGACATGGCTCAAAACCGTTCGCAGTGGCGCCAGCGCATTTATTCTTTGTGTTCTCTCAAATCCTAATCTTCTGGATTCTTCAACATCTTTAGTTTTGTCTTTCTAAACTTTTCTCACTGAATTGTACTTCTTCAATAATATCTTCTAATCCTAACACCTCTCCGATTACTTTTGATACCTTTACTACCTCTACTACTATTGGATTTGAATTGACAATAATATCTCTCTGCTGATGTGGTGGTATGGCAACATGAACTGATGTACCTACGTACGAAGTTCTACGTTGCATCTAACTGACTGACTCACGAACAAAACAATAGTCCAATACTTCCTAGCCTTCAATAGTTATGTAACCAAGATTATACTTATCTCATTATTTCCTTTTTTTTTCTTTTAAAAATTTTAGACAACCAACTTCACATTGTAGTGAAATTCATTCGAAACAACAACTCGTGGACGATGATACCTTGACTGATGGTACTTATAATCAAGAGCATGATGTTATCAATGTCATAAATCAATTCAATTTACCAAATTACACCAGTAGTGGTAGTAGCATTCAGCATCATCATCATCATCAGAATAATAATGTTGATAATATATATGCCATTCCAAGTACTACATTCAATAAACATTCTAAATTGGTGACACATTTCCACCCAATGAAATCCTCATGCACTCGAAATCGATCATCATCATCATCAACATTGTCATTAATTACATCAACAACAACAACGAATAATGCACACCCGTCAGACAAACATCAAACACCGACGACTACTGCTACTACTACTACTACTACTGCTACTTCAATGAAACAATCTGCTTCAGCTTCAGCTTCCGCGTCTGCTTCTTCCCTGTCATCATTGTCATCATCATCAGCGTCAGCTGATGATGATGATTGTGATTTTAATGATTCACATTCATGGAGTTTTAGTACATCAGATATAAATGATTTAAAATTATTGTTGAAATATAATTTACCTGAATTCTCTATGAATAATAATGATGTTGATGTTGATGATTATGGTAAGTGTTGATTGATTTAAATAAATGTGAATAAATTCAATCAGGCGATCAGTCAGTTAGTCAGTTACAATGTCGGAATCTTCGTCTGTGTAAGTATTATCAGTTTAGGTTGTCATACCATCAAATTAGCACAGAGAGAGATGCACTTGTCAGTTCAAGTTTCCATAGTGGTAGAGATAGTAGAAGTATTACTGGTAATGAAGAAGATTAGGATTTGAAGATATTATTATTCAAGAAGTATAATTCAATGAGATAAAATTTGGAAAGACAGTGGTAGAGGTGTTGACAAATCCAGAAGGTTAGGATTTGAGAGAACACAAAGAATAAATGCACCGACGCCATTGCGAACGATTTTTAGTCATGTCATGCAAAGTTGCTGCTTATCGGTAACTTTCGTCTTGCGGACCCCAACCAGGTAGCTTACATCTGCCAACATGACTCAGTCCACTTGTGTTAGGATATTCATCCAATATCCTAAGAGAATTATTGGTCTATTCCTATTGGTTCATTCCTACTGGTCAATTTTATGGTCGTCCTAGTAGATATCAATGTCACATGCTCCAATGTTGTTTCTCATTGGTTGTCTTGACTATCAATGTCACTTCAAATGATGCTTCTTATTAGTCGTCTTAACTGTCAATGTCACAGACTTCGATGCTGTTTCCTATTCGATCAAAACGTATAAATACGCATTATCTGTAACGTTTTATGACCAGTACCCAGTCCCGGATCCCTACTCGGGGATCCTGATTCTCTTCTGGATTCGGACATCGTACTTTCTGGATGCTTGTAGAATACAGATTCTACTTCCTATCAAGTCTTGTCTTATTATTTTCACTCAATATGGGGGTTGGGATAATCGAATGTTAGTAGCATGTCGTGTCGCCGGGTCCTCTTCTCGTTTCCGACTAGGTAAACTCGTAATAGTTCAAGCATATCAAAATGACGTGTTTACGTGTAGGCGTAACAACTTGTCAGTGACTGTTAGTGGGACATAGATGAAATTAAAGCACGACTACGTTGCTGCGCGCTGATTGGCTAAATTTCTATCCAATCAGCGCCTGATCGAAGCTTGGAGAACAGGATAGAAAATTCTCGTATTATTAGCTGCATGCTGATTGGTCAAATCCAGTCCAGTCGATCACGTGAATTTTCTTCCAGAAGTTTTCTCATCTAAAGGCTATAAATAGACTCGCATTGTATTTATCTTTGCCTTCTTAGCCTTCTTCGCTTTCAAGCCTTTTTGCCTTGGCTTTCGCCATCACCTCCAGCTTCTTTTCCTTGCTATTTTGAAATACAATCCTTCCTGTTCAACCGTGTTTTGATTTGTGTTACTTGTCCAGGGTTTTGTGTCAAGAATACTAAGCAATAAGATTTAGCCGGGAAATATCGTAAGCAACCGTTACAACAGTGACTTTATGGATTTGTGCTATGTTTTGGTCTGGCGATGCCTAACCTTCTTCCAGCCTAAACCTACACTACAAAACATAGCTCGTCGAGGCAGTCGGTGGTTAGCTATACGTAACACATCTCCCAACCACCTCAACGGATGAAGTTTCAAAACTTTATCTGTTGATCTGCCATCGTTACCTGGTACTCGTTTCCTAACTACAGGATTGCTTACTCGGTTGTCCCATAATATACGAGCAATACTTCTAAGACATTTATGATTGAATACTAGTAGCCTACGAATATCTACTCTTACCGGCCATGTTTCACATCCATATAGGAGAACGGAGCGAACTGCTGCAAAGTACATTTGGTCTTTGGTTAGCAAACGGATATCTCGCCTACGCCATAAGTGACGCAGGTTGGCAAAAGCCAATCGAGCTTTCTGTATTCGTGCTGAGATTTTGTCAGTCACCAGGCCATCAGCATTGATAAGACTCCCCAGATAAGTGAAGCAGTTAACACGCTCAACTACTTCACTCCTTATCACTAGTTCAGGTGCCAATGCAATCTTACGGTCAATCTAACTGTTAAAATTGAACCAACACCCTTAAAAATCTTAGGGGTCAATCTATCAGGTCCTGCTGCTCTATCGCGCTTTGGATTTCCTATAGCTTTCTGAACTTAATAAAGACTAGGAGGACTAATGTCGGTTTCACATTCAGAAAAACTGGGGATCGTGGGCAACCAAAGTGTGGCTGAAGGCCAACTGAACTGATTTTTTTTAAATAAATAAATTATTCAGTATCGAGCATAGAATTTGATTTCTTCATGCTTATCATAATTTACCTAATTTGTTTCTGAATATCCATTCGTTATTCTTGTTTCACTTTGTCACATAGATATACTTTTCTTATAGTTAACACATTATCTTCGTTTGACTTTTCTGGGGTGCGTGGACCTTCTAACAGGAGACCTGCCCTTGTTGACTTAGAATATGCCGGTGACATAGTTTTGCTTGGTGCAGACGCTGACTATTTTAAACAACAATGCAATCATGTTTGGGATGCGATTCTTCCCGTCGTAATGCGAAATGTTGCTTCAGGATTGGCTTGCGTTGGCATCTGAACTAGTGTTAGGGAGTGAAACAGTTGAGCATCTTAACGGCTTGAGTTATTTCGGGCGTCTCATCAGTGCTGATGGCCTGGTGACTGACGAAGCTAGTCTTTTGTGTGCAGCATGCGTCCAATTTTGCTTCAATGATTCCAACCACCTGCAGGTTGTATCTTTTCATTTCCGCAGCAACCTGAATGGTTATTTTGGTCTCCCACATTATGCAAGCACTCCTTGTACCTATATTAATTGATACTTTGGTTGTCAGAAGAGGCATCGGTCTCGTAACTTCTGAAGGAACTCGGCTTTCACCAGGAGGCTCCATAACTCTTCTAAATGAAGACCTACTAACTACTAAGGCTGTTTGAATGGTTTAAATTAAATTTCCTGGCTAGCACTTGTTTAGCAAGTTTGTTTTCAATAGAATGAGATTCCAACATTTGTGACCTATCCGAGTTTGGGACCGGTGGTAACTGTAGAAGTGCCACAGGCCAAATTGTCCTTAACGACAAAATGAAAAAGGTTCATTTTTTGAGCGAGTGGTATGTATATAAATGAACACGAAGACGATTACGTGCATATATTTGATAGATTAACTCTTGCATTCTTGCCTTCTCATACAAGCAGTCAGTTTGTGGGGGTCTTGAGTGTATGAGTATCAAATCACGGACATCGCATATCATAACTTGGACAGAGTAGTTGTAGAGTCTAATGATACTTAGTGAATAACATTTTAAACCTTTTGTACAATATTATTACTTCATTCTTATTTCATAGGTGATTCTATCAATCAACCAAATGATACAACACTTGCTCGTTCTACATCAACATTAATATCAGACAAAATCAGCTCTTCGTTACATAGTCAATCTATCAAAACTAATCAAACTGGCAATTCTCAATTAGACAAAGTTAATTCGGATGTATATACCAGAAAATCCACTGAAACTCTTCCATATCATCAAAAATCTATTTCTTCTCAGAATAAAAATGAATCTATCAATGTTATAAATGAATTTAATGCAAAACAGTTAACGAATGATCAGGTATGCATTTTGATCTCTGTGTTTTTTTGCTTCGTATGGCTATTCAGTTCAAGTGGCATCCAAATTCAAATATCCCAGTACGACCCAAAATACTATTTCCAAATCTCCTACATAGATCAGAACGCAACACCCGCTGGATGAAGTTGTTTATTTGGGTTGAGTACAGTAGAGAGAGGTAGGCAGGAAGAAACGGAATCGGAATCATGAAGTCTTACAGATAGTGCGTATTTATACATTAAGGTCGAATAGGAAAGAGCATCAAAGTCTGTGACATTATTGACAGTTTAGGACGACGACCAATAGGAAAGAACATTTGAAATGACATTGACAGTCCGGTTGACCAATAAGAGACAACATTGAAGTGTTTGACTTTGTGACAGTTAAAACGATCATAATTTTGACCAATAGAAATCGACCAATAGGATTATACTTCCAAAAATAGTACTCTTAGGATAATTGGTGAAATATCCTAACAGAAAATATGATTGTTTAAGTATAATAATAATAGCAGACCAATCATGATCAAGACAATCATTTCAGGGTCATGGCGCAAATATTAAATCGGAAAAAATTCATTATTGACCGATAGTTTTGATGAGGAAAAAAGACACAATTTCATCTTTATATGCCATTGAATCAGTGAGAAAGAACACTCTTCTGTAAATCTGGGAGTGAAATGATTGTTCGAGTAATAAGTCACATATACATTCCTCGCCTCCTTATTGGTTGAGTGCTTTCAAGGTCAATGCCGGGAACTTACCAATAGAATTGAACTTTACTGAAAATGTTGTTTTTGATTGATGTTTAAATATTGACTAATCGATCATCGATTTTTAGAACCGACCAAATTTAATCTTAACGTGAAATAATCCTAAACTTAAAATCATTTTGAAAAGTTGATCGAAATCAACACTAATTAGACAACCAGGATAACTTTCTGAAATTCTATCGAGAAGTCATAACCGATGGAATTCAGTAGTAAAATAGATATCATCACTAATATTGAATAATCTTCTGGGTATATCATTCATCGATCAAAGTTTGAACATGCTGATTATTATTTTTTTAATTCACAATTATATAAATTCACCCCCACAATTGTCAATGGTAATTTTATATTGGTTTTCCGCAAAACCAGATGCTGCCTATATGTTAACACTACAACGTGAACAGTATAGCTCTATCCTGTGGCGCGATCACACGTACCTGACAACCTGGTTGACTATTCACACCATTTATATGCACTAGTACATATATAGTGATTATTTCCGATCCACGATAACGTCATTCAATATGCACCGCATGAACAGGTCATTTTGACGCATCCCGCTTACACATAACTGTCGAACTCATTATTATTAGCAATGGTGATATGCAGCAATACGGCACCCCAATGACAATGGCCGTCGGGAATGTTGCAAAGCAACCACCATCAGTAATCAATGAAATCGGTCAACTTGTTGACTATATTCGTACATGGACTGTTTGCAATACTTGCCCCAAGTAGTGCCAAACCATCCTCAATGTTCATCACAACGAACCTCTGGTCTCTCATAGGAAATCTTCAGCTCTATATAGCAATATATAGTTTACGGTATTTACATCGTATGGCATAGGATAGATAGCAGGAGATGCAGCCCAGCTTGATGCAAATGGGCTCAAACACTCTTATTACCCTATGTCTTATGTCGGGTAATGATTTTCCCGCAATATAGTAAATTTTTATTTTTCCGATCATATGAGACCTGAGTTAGGGATATTATCCCTACTATGTTGACTATTGGTTTGTTTGAATTAACGATAGTCCTAAATGTATCATAACCACAAAGGAACTTAAAGCCTCGGAGTTTTTGTTGAACTCTTTGAATGTGCACTGACAAGATTCAGGGAGATTTTAGTTTTTCTAATAACATTTTTCAACAGAAGCGGTATTCTAAAAACACTTCATCAGTTAGGGGGTTATTAAGAAGTATAAGAGGTATTTGATTATGACTAATTTCGTCTCGTGTGCTGTTACAAGTATGAGGGCGGATGTCACTTACCGGCTGCCCACACCATCGAGGGGGGTATTTTTTGAGGAGCCTGAAAATGAAGTTGGATTAGTGTTGATCTGAGCGACCTTGGAGCGTGATCGTAGAGCCCAAAGGACAACTGCTTCAGGTCGGTTGCACACGACCTTTTTGTAGTAAACGGCCTTACCGTCGGAGACAGAAATCCGTGAGGTAAAGTGAGGTGTGATAATTTTAGGGTATACCTTTTCCAATCCCTCCCTCCCTTGTGAGAAGGCAGTATCACTGCAGATGCTGATTGTTCGAGGGACACACCTTACTGCTGCTGTTACACCTCTCTACAGTGAGTAGTACAACTTCACCCCTCAGACCTTAAGTAGCTGCTTTTAGTCTCACTGATTTTCAATTGACCTGCCTGGCATGGTGTAGTACCTACAGGAACATATAGCTCGATTGGGTCGTTACGATAAGCGAGTCCGACCACCACATCAAGGCAGCAGCTACAGTCGTGTCTGTAGACGCTTCAGTTCTCTAATTAACCACGATTTTAAAGTTAGATAGGTTGTTATATACTTATTCCTCTCTTTAGATTAATTGTATTGTAGTTAGTTCTTCAATCATAGATTATGCGTTACCTGGAAAATAACTACAAAGAGCCATATAACACTGGAATCAAACTTTATCACTTCGAATCTCGTGATTAATATGATACTTGCAGATCGATTGACCTAGTTATCTAGTGATTTGTTTTTGGTTCCAACTTTAATCTTCTGTCTTAAAATATAGCCTAACAGTTATTCAATGTTTAACTTGATATCTGACTCACTTGTAACCCTGATTGGAACCTTATTCAAAAAATAGCTTCTTTACTCAAGCTTTGGAAGGCTTATGAGGAACTGCAATAAAATCAGTTTATCGATTTACGTTCTATAAAATATAGTAACTGATCCGTACAACTTAACTTATTTAGCTTCCATTAGATAGTAAAAGCGACAAATGTGTTTAATTTCCAAAGATTCCCATGGATCCACTGTTGTTATTGGCAGTAAAATTCTATTGGGATTTATTCGTCCACAGGAATGGATCGTCCAATGACGTCCAATCAAATAGAAACAGGTTTTTACTGTAATAAGAATCAGTCAGTTGCAACGTAGAACTTCGTACGTATGTACATAAGTTCAGGTTGCCATACCACATTAGCACGCAGAGATGTAATTGTCAATTCAAATCCAATAGTGGTAAAGATAGTACAGGTATTAATGGTAATGAAGAAAACTAGGGTTTGAAGATATTATTCAAGAAGTATAATTCAGTGAGATAAGGTTAGAAAGACAAAGGTAGGGTTGCTGAAGAATCCAGAAGATTAGGATTTGAGAGAGCACAACGAATGGATGCACTTGCGCCATTGCAAAAAATTTTGAGCCATGTCATCCAAGGTCTCTAACCATTGGTGATTATCGTCCCGCGGACCCCAACCAGGTAGCTAACATCTACCAACATAACTCAGTCCACTTCTCAGTGATTTCATGGATATGTGCCATGTTTTGGTTTATCCACCCCTAGCTTTCTTCCAACCTATTCCTACACCACAAAACATCTCTCGTCGAGGCAGTCGGTGGTTAGGTATACGTAACACATGTCATCATCCCATGATGTCCACTAAAATAAAAATAGGTTTTCTTGTAATAAGTATCACATTTTACATTATCCCCAACCAACGCAACGGTGGTTTAATAGTTGAAAAATTTAACTTCAGGCATCAATTCATCTAATTTTGATGTTTTGGTAAGATGAATAGCGACAATTACTGAAACTGAAGGAAATCAATTGGGAATGTAGAATAAAAAATTATGTATATATCCAATCACTGCTTGGGATTATTTTTATGAATGGCTCCGACAATCAATCACTTCATGGACCGATTCCTCACGTTGATTTGTCCACTCCTACCTCTCCGAAAAACTTTTCCTATTCTACCCAGCATTAAAAGTTCAGCTTCTAAGTAAAGATTCAGGAATTATTTTTGACAATTAGTACTAGTGAACATTACATTGAGTAAAGCGATTTATGTTGTTGTTAGGATATTAATCAAATATCCTAAGAGAATTATTTTTGTAAGTCTAATTCTATTGGTCGATTCCTACTGGTCAATATTATGGTCGTTCTAACTATCAATGCCACGTACATCAATGTTGTTTCCTACTTGACATAACTGTATAAATACGCATTATCTGTAACGTTTTATGACCCGGACCTGGGCCCGGATCCCTTCTCTTCTGCACTCGGACCTCGTACTTTCTGGATGCTTGTAGAATACATGTTCTACTTCATATCATGTCTTCTTATTTTCACTGAATATGAGGGTTGGGATAATCGGATTTGTGTAGTATGTCGTGTCGCCGGATCCTCGATCCTCTCTCTCGTTTTCTGACTAAGGTAAACTCGTCATAATTCAAGCATATCAGTTTGACACATTGACGTGCAAACGTAACAGTTCTTCACAAACTTTTTCATTGTATTTGAATCATAGAATCCCAGTAATCAGAATAATACAACAACTACTACTAACAATAATGAAACTGGTTTGAAAATGTGGCTTGGTAAATTAGAAGCTGAAGTGAAACGTTTCAAAGTGGAAAATGCAAATTTGAATAAATTAAAAATCGAGGCGGAAGATGTAAGTTTTTTTGAATAGTTGCTATAGTTCCTATCTCTTTTATGTTTTTTTTTATTGCTAACTTTATTTTCGAATGATACCTGAGGCATTCTCGTGGCGCCGTACCTCGTTAAAGCGTGTAAGTCAGTTATCTAACTTGGATTGTCAGCAGAGATCTAACTAGTCATCAACCGCAATTCTGTAGCCGATTTTGATAGTCTTTGAAGGTCGTTAGCTAAAAAAATCGTGGGGACTGTTTGATGTGTGACTTAGCGTTTATGGATCTTGGAGGCTGTGTGCTGTATTCTTGATATGGTTAGGTACATGCATAAGGTACGGCTTATGGGCTCACAAAAAGGGATTTAGGTTGGAATGTCTACCCTGTCAATAAATTTCAAAAAACATATGGGCGGAAAGGAGAGTGAATGTAACGTAAGACTGACCTGCGGGGTAAATATGCCTATATCATAAGATATATCAGGCGAAAACTCATGTGTTTCTGACGTGCATGTCAGTCAGTCTGGTTGGGTTCCGCAAGACGTTAGTAACCGATGGTTAGATACCTTGAATAGTCAGTCAGTCAGATGCAACGTAGAACTTCGTACGTAAGTACATCAGTTCATGTTGCCACACCACCACATTAGCACAGAGTTAAAATTGTCAATTCAAATCCAATTGTAGTAGAGGTAGTAAAGGTATTAGAAGTAATCGGACAAGTTAGGATTAGATATTATTTAAGAAGTATGATTCAGTGAGAAAAGTTTAGAAAGTCAAAAATAGAGGGGTTGAAGAATTCAGAAGATTAGGATTTGAGAGAACACAAAGAATAAATGCACCGGCGCCATTCCATTGTAAACGGTTTTGAGCCATGTCATTCAAGGTCTCTAACCATCGATTATTATCATCTCGCGGACCCCAACCAGGTAGTCGACAACAACCGATATGGCTCAGTCCACTCATCAATGACTTCATGGATTTCTGACATGATTTGGTTTGGCCGCCTCTAGCTTTCTTCGAACCTATTCCTACACTACAAAACAAAGCTCGTCGAGGCAGTCTGTGGTTAGGCATACGCAGCACATGTCCCAACCACCTCAACTGATGAAGTTTCAGCACTTCATCTATTGATTTGCCATCCTTACCTAGCACTCGTTTCCCAACGACAGCATTGCTCACTCGGTTGTCCCACGATATACGAGCAATGCTTCGAAGACACCTATGATCGAAAACCAATAACCTACGAATATCTTCTACTCTCACTGGCCATGTTTCACAGCCATATAGGAGAACGGAATGAACTACTGCGCAGTACACTCGTCCTTTAGTCAGCAAACGGATATCTCGCCTGCGCCGTAAGTGACGCAGGTTGGCAAAAGCCAATCGAGCCTTCTGTATCCGTGCTGAGATTTCTGACGTGCATGTTGCATACAGTTGCTCTTTATGTGACGCGCTTTCACCCAAGATCCACTGGGTAAAGGTTTCCCACAAGACCCACGCACACACGCAGTGGGTTTGTGTGCGTCGAAAAACCAAATCTCTTCCAGAAACTTTAGTATGACGTCCACAAACACACCGCTTCACCAACCTCTATGTCTGGAATACTGTATTGGTATCGAATTATGTATTTTCCTGTAAGGAGAAAAATGTTTGGTGTTCCCCGATCCTGACTTCATTTTGTTCGAACAATCGAATATACTATGAAATAAATCTGCCCTTCCATTTCCTTCAAACTTAAGCGAATTCCGTTTGTGGTGTGTGCTACTTATACGAACGATATAAGTAGTATAAGGAAGGACATGAAAGAAGAGGAAAACGGAAAGCAAATGGAGCAAAAGCAAGAAGTAAATGGAGTAGTACCAACAGAGGAAGGAAAGGAAGCAACAACAGGAATGGAAGAAGAAGAAGGATGGAGTGTTGGAAGTCACAACTCAGAGATGGTGTGCAAATAGAGTGTTCAATGTAATGTTTTCGTTTTTAATTGACCAAGAGTGCAAATTCGCACAAAACAATCTTCCTCGCCTGCCTCAATCTTTTCACGTTTATGCAACGGTGGCAATTAGAAGCCATATACAGTTTAGCGGATGAAATTTTTTCCATACAATCGTTCACACAGACAGACATGAGGATACTAAGCATAAAAGCGAAGCGAACGAAAGTGGAGAAGGCGGCTAGTGAACCAACTCAATTTCGATGAGGCATGAACTAAGTTTGTAGTCGTAGTCAGACAAAATACGCTACACTTGTAATACGTACAATAAGTTGGCATACACCCCTAACATTAAAAACAATTCAGGCTATGAGCGAATAATTCGATAAGGCTGAAATGCGTGTGAATATAACTAAAGGCAGAATGAGTTTAGTAATTTATCAAAACATTGAGACAAACCCTGTGGGCTTGACCTACAAAAGATTTGTAACTCGGATGAATGTTTTTTGTAGTGTTGTATTTTTTATGGGTTGAATAATTTACAGAGCTTGAATTATATCCTTCTGACCTTAACATTATCCGTGCCTTCTTTATGTTGAAATAGAAGATAAAACTGTCATAAGTCTGATTTTTATGAAAAAAGACATCAGTTCTTGTGTGTAAGGAGTTGGTTTTTGCCATTAACTGAACGAAATCTAGTGAAATTGAGCTCAAATATGCAGCTACTTCTGTCTTATAATGATGAGTTTCATTAACATGGCTAGTAAGAGTAAAAGATATTGGTAGGTTACTAATATTGAATCATGGATATCTTCAAGCACATTGCTCGTTATATCCTAGGACCATTGAGTAAGCAGTGTTTTTGTTAAGAAACGGGTACTTGGTAAGGATGACGCATTTTTAGATGAAGTAGTGAATCTTCATCAGTTGAGGGTGGTTAGGACATGTGTCACGTATACATAACCACCGACTGTCCCGACGAGCTATGTTTTGTGGTGCAGGAGCCTGTCGGAAGAAAGTTAGAGGCAGCCAAACCAAAACATGGCACAAATCCATGAAGTCATTGACAACTGGACCGAGCCATATTGGTACGTGTAGATTACTTGGTTGTGGTCGACGAGACAATCGTAACTGGCGGTCAGATACTTTGATTGACATGATTCTATGTCCTTTGCGATGGCACAGATGCACCCATTCGTTATCTTTCAAATTCTAATCTTCTGAATTCAACATGATCGTCTTTTCGTCTTTTAAATGTAATTCCATAAGGATATACTTCTTGAATCATTCCTTCGAACCCGAATATTCTTCATTACTGTTTGTACTTCTACTACATTTATCACAATGAATTTGAATTGACAATTTGATCTCTGTCTGCTAATGTGGTATGACAACGTGAACTGATGCACGTACATACGAGGTTCTACGTTGTAGATGACCAACTGGCTGACCTTAGTTTCATTATTTAAACTGAACCCAAATGAACATTGAATTATATAGTTATAAACATATAGTTATACGTAACGTTATTTTGTGTCATTGTTTAAACGAGAGTGATTATTCCAAGTTTACATCACAGATTCATCTTATCAAAATAATCGCTAAGATTCATGGAGTAGTATGGATTTTTCACTATGAATCTACTGCGGCACATAGTCTGTTACTGTTAGGGGTACATAGATGAAATTAAAGCATGACTGCGTCAGCTGGGCGCTGATTGGCCAATTTACTATCCAATCAGCGCCTGATCGAATCTTGGAAAACAGAGTAGAAGATTCTCGTACTGTTAGCTGCGTGCTGATTGGTTAAATCTAATCGAGTCGATCACGTGAATTTCTACCGAGAAGCTTCTCATGTAAATACTATAAAGAAACTAACGTTGTATCTATTATTGCCTTCGCCTTCGCCATCACCTTGGCTTCTTATTTCCATTTCACCTTGCTATTTGGAATATAATCTTTTCCTGTTCAACCGTGTTTTTGATTCTTGGGAACTTGTCCAGTGTATTGTGGTCAGAGAATACTAAGCAATAGGATTTAGCTGGGAATCATTTAAGCAAGCATTACAAAAGTTACCCTCGATGGAGCACAGACCAGCCGACCAACATTCTCCTGCCTACTCTGTCCTGAGCCTTCGTTTCCAGTTCTGTCTAATTGTTATTCATTCTTCACATGTATATCTTCATTTCTTGGCCTAATGTGTTTTTTGGTCTTCTTCCTCTTCTCCTTTGACCTTGAGGTTTGCAATTGAGCGCTTGTCTTGTGACGCAGTTGGATGATTTCTACAGTTCATATGTCCTATCCATCAACTCCATTGGTTCTTACTAATTTTTTCCTCATCTATAGTATCTGGTATGTTCTCTCCCATAGTAGGTTGTGTTACTGATAAATGTCTGACTAACAGATCCGAAGTATTTTGCCTGGACAACTATAGAATCTAGTCATATTCACAAACCTTTTTTAACTAACAATCCAATAAAAAGGACGGTCATTTATTTTCTTTAAATCTTATTTTTATTCTTAAATTTTTTAAAGACTTTACGTCGACTTGAATTAGAAAAAAGTCGTTTTAACGAAAATAAACTTAAAGAGCAGAAAGAGTTTGAAGAGTACAAAGAGAATGAAATTAAGAAATTAAAGTAAGTTCCTTTTTTCGTACAATTAAATTTCGACGTATATATATATGTGTGTGTTATGCTTGACAAATTGATATGCTTGAATGCTATTCCGAGTGTTCAGCCTTAGTAGTTGATAAACGAGAGTGAAGACAATATGATCCATTGTGACAGGATAGACTACTCTAATCCGAGCATCCCAAGTCCCTCCCCGACTAATGGTATTAAAAAAGTCTTGATTTGTGCGTAGAAAGTGTGTTCTATAAGCACCCAGAAAATATGCGGTTTTGTACCGAAGAAGAGGAACAGACAATGCATATTTATACTGTTAGGTTAACCTTGAATGTTAACCAATAGGAAAGAAGATTTAAAAGTATGTGAACTTGATAGTTTAGTACGACCTTAACTATTGACCAATAGAATTAGACTTACAAAATGATTTCTTTATGATATTTCATGTATATATTGACTGGTCTACTTCAGCGCTTGAGCTGAGGAGAGCGATTAAACTAAGTGCTGTCCGATAAAATACCGGCACGAATTTAGAAATTTTGGTTGAATTTTAACAGCTTACGTCACTTGTACATTGTGTAAGATTTTGTCTGCCAAATAGAGAGGACGATCACACGGTCTTACGATTTGATTTGTTCCCTAGTTTTAGCTATGAGAAATCGCTCTTCGTAATAGTGGAAATTCATGGGTTCTATTAGTATTTGGTCATCAATCAATCAGTCAGTTGCAACGTAGAACTTCGTACGTATGTACATAAATTCCTATTGCCATACCACATTATTAGCACAGAGACGCAAATGTCAAATCAAATCCTATAGTGATAGAGACAGTAGAGGTATTAATGGTAATGAAGAAGACTAGGGTTTGAAGATATTATTCAAGAAGTATAATTCAGTGAGATAAGTTTAGAAAGACAAAGGTAGAGGTGCTGACGAATCCAGAAGATTAGGATTTGAGAGAACACAACTAATGGATGCCCTTGCCCCATTGCAAACGATCTTGAGCCATGTTGTTCAAGGTCTCTAACCATTGGCGACTTTCGTCTCGCTGACCCTCACCAGATAGCCTACATCTACCAACATGACTGAGTCCATTTGTCAGGGACTTCATGGATTTGTTCGATGTTTTGGTCTGGCTGCTCCTAGCTTTCTTCCAACCTACTCCTACACTACAAAACATATCTCGTCCAGGCAGTCGATGGTTAGGCATTCTTAGATGTCTTCGAAGCATGGAAAGTATGGAAAATCAGTTGAAATGGTTGGTTGATGTTTAAGACATATATCACAAATGTTAGTCAGTCAGTCAGTCAGTTCAGTCAGTTACAACGTAGAACTTCGTACGTAAGTACTTGCATTGTTGCTTAGGGTAGTCAGAAGACTCTGCGTTTTGTCAGCGTCTTCACCGAATAGAACTATGTCATCGGCATATTCTAGGTCAGTAAGCGATCCTCCTGATAGGAGGTCCACTCTTGATAAGGATAATGTTAACTCTAAAAGGATGTCTACGACAAAGTTAACCAAGAATGGAGAGAGTGGACATCCCTAAAAGACACCACTTAAAGTAAAGAATTCCGATGACAGTTCGCCATAGGCTCTCACCCAACCAGTGGTTTTTGAGTAGAGAGCTTGTATAAGGTTAATGTACTTCTTTGGTACACCTTTCATTGACAGACACTACCACAGAACCTCATGGTCGACAGAATCAAATGCCACCTTGAGGTCCAGGAAGACAACTGTTTTCGGACGCCTAAATATGTGCTTGTGTTCTAGGACCTGTCGTAGAGTGAAGATGTGGTCTATACAGTCACGTCTGGGTCGAAAACCAGCCTGGTTTTCTCGAGTCTTCTTTTCATGAGGTTTAGTTAAAACGTCCGTTCATTAACCTTACTTCGACAATACACGACTGTTGGTAGTGTAGGGAGGCAGGTTGTAAGGAGCGCTAAGATGCTATACATGAATCAATCGAAGACAGTGAATGTTCAATTGAGCTGTGTTAATAGGTGTAAACTATATGGTTAGCGTTCGCATGATATCTATTGATGTACACATGTGCTAGGTGTTTACATTGAACATAACCGACTAACTGCTAAACATAACATGAAATCACAGGTTGATTACAATACAGAAACTCAACGTTTAGAATTTAAATAAAGAATTAGTACTTGTGTGACACTGAAATAGAATTCAAGTCATTTCACTCATGTTTACACTAAGAGGTTTACATTTCCAATAACAGTTATCCCGATCGTAGCTGCTACCTAGATGTGATAGTCGGACTTGTCTGTCGTGATGACACAATCGACCTCTATTGGCTGGAATATATGTTCTTGTAGGTTCTACTATGCCACGCTGGTCGATTAGAGAACGGTAAGACTAAAAGAAGCAACTTAAGGTCTGAGGGCGAAGAGAGGTGTTACAACAGTAAGGTATTTTCCTCACTAATAACAGAAATCATGAGTTTGGTTGTTCTACTTTCTTAATTACACCTGTTACCCCCCAATAAAGCGTAGGCCGCCGATCAGCATTCTCCAACCTATTCTGTGCTGTGCCTTGCTTTCCAGTTCTGTCCAATCTCAGTTCATTCTTCTCATGTCTGTATCCATTTCTCGGTGTAATGTGTTTTTTAGCGTTGAGAATTTTGATTGAGGGTTCTTCTTGTGATGCAGTATGGTGCTTTCCTCAATGTGTGTCCTATCCACTTCCAGTGGAATCTGGCTTGTTCTCTCCCTCAGTAGGTTGTTACTGATAGTGTCATCGCAAAAATCCATGAATTCACTGACAGGTGGAGTCATGTTGGTAGATGTAGACTCCCTGGTCGGGTTCCGCGAGACCATAGTAACCAACGTTTAGGGATCTTGAACGACATGGCTCAATACGTTTGCAATAGCACAGGTACACCCACTCGTTGTGTTCATTGGAATTCTAACCTTCTGAATTCCTCATCACCTCCATCGTTCCCTTTCAAAATTTATCTCACTAAATTATAATTCTTGAATAATAACTTCAAGCCCTAATTTTCTCCATTATCGCTAAAACTTCTACTACACCTACTACTATGGGATTGGAAATGACAATTCGATCTCCCTGTGTGCAAATGTGGTTGTATGCCAACCTGAACACTGATGTACGTACTTACGTGAAGTTCTACGTTGTGATTGACGATTGACTGAATATAATTTTATTCCTATATTTCTTCATAAAAATTTTTTATCAATGTTCAGATATACATTTTTTTAATCTTTCAATGTATTCATTCACATTGTGTTGGTTGATATGATTAGAAAAGAAAAACGTGTTTTGGAAGAATATCAACGTGCTCTTAGAACTATGCCAAATAAAAAAGATCGTGAAGAAATTGAACGACTTAAACAAGAAGTATGTTTATGTAAACTTTCTCAATTTTTTTTCTATTAATTGAAATATACTTACTTACTTTAATTGCTTACGCTTGTTACCTCCAATGGAGTATAGGCCGACCACCAGTTTTCTCTTCAACCAATTCTGTCCTGGGCTTCTTTCTCCAGTTCTGTCCAATGTTTGTTCATTCCTCTCATACCTTTCTCTATTTCTCGGCGTTATGTGTTCCTTGACCTTCCTTATCTCCTTTGACCTTGAGTGTTCCAAGTGAGGGCTTGTCTTTTGACGCAGTTGAGTGCTCTTCTCAGTGTGTGTCCTATCCACCAACTCCACCGCTTCTTCCTGATTTCCTCTTCCACTGGAATATGGTTTGATCTCTCCAACAGTAGGTTGTTGCTGATGGTGTCTGGCCAACGAATCCGAAGTATTTTGCGTAGACAACTGTTCATAAATACTTGTATCCTCTGGATGATGGCTTTCGTAGTTCTCCAAGTTTCCGCTCCATACAGTAGAACTGTCTTGACATTTGTATTGAAAATTCTGATTTTGATTTTGGTTGAAAGTTGTTTGATTAATGAAGATATATATTCACAATTTTTATCGATATCTCCCCCGCTACATCTCAATAATTATCAATCAAAATTGATTTTTAAACTTTTTGGGAATGTGAGATATGGTTAACAGTGGAAGAATCCGACATGTATGTACCTCGTCTGTAGCTAGATATTGTTGGTGAGGTTAGATCCCCCAGAACACGTTTGATAAATATCTTTATTTTGGATTTTTTTATTCATGGACCAATCAGTTGACCTTGAGATCACATTTCCCACCAGGAGACTCCTTGTCTGTGATTGGTTAGTGTGTCCTTTTAGTGTGCTATTAATGTGACTGTCACAAGGACGTCTCTAAAGAATATAAATAAACGCAATTTGAGTGCATGGATTGATTGTGTGCTTGTGTGTGTGTTTGTAGAATACAATTTCTACACTATATCAAGACTTCTTGTTGATTCAGTTTGGTCAAGGGATCACAGTAGCCTACCTGGACGCCAGTTAATTGTTTTGTTCTCGTTATTCGACTAAGGTGAACTCGTAATAGTTTAAGCATACCTAGAGTCAAACATAACAATATGCAACTTCATATTGAAGGTGATGTTCACTGTGAGACTTGAATCCAATACCTTACCCTACGAATGCTATCGTGTTATCCTCTTAGCTATTTAGTTCCTGATAACCATTAACTTGTGACATGAATTGAAGTTTTAACCTCTTGCATTCCACTACTAACCGTCAACCGTCATTTGTATGTGGACAACCTTTAGGACAATATCGAGAGGCAATATCTGCACAAGATTTGCACCAAATTTACTTACTTACTTACCTACTCACTCATGTTCCAGCTAATGGAAGCAATAGGCTATCGACCAGCGATCGAATTGGATTTTTTTACAGGATGAGGTCGATAACTTCCATACCCCCTCAACCTTCCTTCTTTATCCAGGCCTAGGATTGGCAATACCATTTTGAAGGGCTCCAGGTTGCAGTTAATATGACCAAAATACATTCTAAAAATCGAATATTATTATTATTGAGTTTCGTCATTTAAATTAATCAGAATGGATTGATTATCAATCTGAAATTATTGAAAATTTAAACCACTATTTACTGAAGTTATATGTTCTGATTTTTCTCTCTCTCTCTCTCTTCGATGTGTTGACAATTACTATTCCCCTTTGTGTGATCAACCACACAGTTACCATTCTAATATCAATCGATAAGAACAAGTAGTCGATATGTGTATTCATGATTCTACTGTTTCACAACATCGAATTGAATATAGGAAATGAGATTACTTCTTTTTACGGTTCCTGTAAATAATAGAGTTAAAAAACTTGTTTAAGCAATGAAATTTTTGTTGATGATGAACTCAATATACATTTGAAATCATCAATCAATCATTGTTAGACCACCATTAGAAACCTGGAAGCACTGAAAGACGGCCGTTTCGTTCTGGTATGGGACTCCTCAGCAGTGCGCATCCACGACTCCTGCATCTCGCAGATTCGAACCCGGGACCTTCAGCATTGTAGGCGAACGCCTTACCATCGGACCACTGGGTTGGTATCCAACGGTGTTAATGTCTAACACTGATTGATCTAGGGATTTTGCGCGAACTCGCCCATTTGTCTTTGGTAGTAGTTACTGCATACACCCGACAGGGTTGAACTCCATTGGATGCACACTGCTGATGACTCCCATACCAGGACGAAACGGTCGTCCAGTGCTTCCAGGTTTCTAATGAGGGTGGTCTAACAATGATTGATTGATGATTTCAAATGTGTAAAAACACAAAACCTCCAAAACTCTGCCCTAAAACTCAATATAATAAAGTGAATCGATTTTATTATCGACTGCAATGAATTTAGTTTTTGCTCGTATATCCCAAGGACAATCGAGTAAGCAATGCTGGGATTAGTAAAACATCATCAGTTGAGGTAGTTGGGAATAGTGGTACGTTTTCACAACAACCGACTGCCCCGACGAACGATGTTGTCCTATGTAGGAGGGGCAGTCTGGAAGCTAGCGGCGTCCAAACCAAAACATGGCTCAAATCTATGAAGTCACTGACAATTGGACTGAACTGTGTTAGTAAATGTTGACTACTTGATTCGGGTGTGCGAGAAAATAGTAACCGATGGTTAGAGACATGGCTCAAAATCATTTGCAATGACGCAGGTGCATCCAGTCTTTGTGTTCTCTCAAATTCTAATCTTCTGAATTCCTCACCGTCTTTATCTTCATTTTTATAAGTTTATTTCACTGGATGATTATACTTGTTGAATATTGTCTTCGAACACTAATCTTTTGGATTACTGCTAATACTTCTACTACCTCTATTATGATGGGATTTGGGTTTGACAATTCCATCTCTGTGCTAATGTGGTATGGCAACTTGAACTGATGTACGTACGTACAAAGTTCTACGTTGTAGAGCTGACTGACTGTTACTTAACACGTCTCATTGTAAAAATGTACTGAATCGTCCATCATCATAGTTAACATTAAAATAACTCTACTCAACAAGAAATTACTCTTAATGGATATATGTAATTTCTTTTACAAATGAATTTCGCGGATTTTGAATATCTTTAATATTCATTTTTATGAAATGTTACTTGATCAGTGTATGAGTGTATGAGCGGTGTCTCAGATCTGATGATATGCGCTACACCCCACACTCCCAAAGAGTTGAAAAGAAAGTCTATTCGGTTTTCGGATTAATACACATAAATACATTCCTTCTCCATTAGAAAGTGAATCCCTGTTTGGTGACCAATCAATATACATTTGTCCTTCAAAACATTTCCAACTGCCAGCAAGTGACCTTGTTCAGTCGATTCTGATTGGCTGTCTCTTGTATTCATGAATAATTCACCTGAGATTGAGAATGTTTACCCTTGTTTCAACCATTTCAATGCTTATTTTCAGTTTGTAGAGAGCGCTATGTCTTTTATTTTTGTTAGGATATTCATCCAATATTCTAAGAGAATTGGTCGAATCTTATTGGTCGATTTCTATTGGTCAAAATTATGGTCGTTTTAACTGTCAAAGTCAAATACTTCAATGTTGTCTCTTATTGGTCATCCGGACCGTTAATTTCATTTCAAATCTTATCTCCTATTGGTCGTCTTAACTGTCAATGCCACAGAATTCGATGCTGTTTCCTATTCGACCAAAATGTGTAAATACGCATTATCTGTAACATTTTATGACCACGACCAGGACAAGGACCCGGATCCCTAGTCCGGAATCCTGATTATCTTCTGGAGTCGAACCTCGTATTTTCTGGATGCTTGTAGAATACACATTCTACTTCTTATCATGTCTTCTTATTTTTACTCTATATGGGGGTTGGGATAATCGGATTTAAGTAGCATTTAGCGTCACCGGATCCTTGATCCTCGCTCTCGTTTTTTGTGACTAAAGGGTAAACTCGTCATAATTCAAGTGTATCATGTTGACGTATTTACGTGCATTTACTGTTCAATTTTCAATCATCCATTTGTTTTCCCTTTTTTGATTTCAGCTTGAAGAATCACGTATAGACATGGGTAAACGTGAAGTTCGTTGGCATGCAGCATTAAGTCGGCTGAGGACACGAATTGATGAATTTGAAACAGAACGTATTGAATTGAAAGAACGTATTAGTCGACTCGAGGAAGAACGTATAGCATTACAATCGAAATTAGCTAAGAAACAATTCACCTCTCATCATGATAATAATCATGAGTTGATGACCATGAAACAACATTCATTTCGTCAAGTTAGTTTTTGCTGTGTTCACAATTTATTATTGTCCTTGTGTTTTTAAAAAAAATATCATAATGATGATAGTTTTTGAAGGAGAATGTTTTCTTGTAAAGAGCAGACTAGAGAACAGCAGACTGGTTTCAGACCCGGACGTGGATGTATAGACCACATCTTCACACTACGACAGGTCCTGGAACACAGACACACATTTAGACGTCCTACAATAGATGTTTTCCTGGACCTAAAACCGGCATTTGACTCAGTGGATCGTGAGGTTCTGTGGCAGTGTCTGTCATTGAAAGGTGTACTAAAGAAGTACATTAACCTTATACAAGCTCTCTATTCAATCACTCACTACAGGTCGAGTTGGAGCTTATGGTGAAGTGTCATCGGAATTCTCTATTTCAAGTGGTGTCCGTCAGGGATGTCCACTCTCTCCATTCTTGTTGAATTTTGTCATAGACATGCTGCTGGATATAATATTATATTCGTCTGAATTTTCAGAAGTACACCTATTATGAGGCTCGCTTATTGACTTAGAATATGCCGATGACATTGTCCTACTTGGTGAAGATGCTGACAATATGCACAGTCCTCTGACTACCCTAAGCAACAATGCAACCATGTTCGGGATGCGGTTCTCACCCTCAAAATGCAAAATGTTGCTTCAAGATTGGGTTTCATCGGCACCTGAACTAGTGATAGGTAGTGAAGTAGTCGAGCGTGTTGATCACTTCATCAGTGCTGATAGCCTGGAGACTGACGAAATTTCAGCATGGATACAACAGGCTCGAATCGCTTTTCCCAACTTGCGTCACTTATGCCGCAGGCGAGATATCCGTTTGCTGACTAAAGGACGAGTGTGCTGCGCAGTAGTTCGCTCCGTTCTCCTATATGGATGTGAAACATGGCCGTTAAGAGTAGAAGATGTTCGTAGGTTACTAGTATTCGATCATAGATGTTTAAGAAGCATTTCTCGTGTATCCTGGTACTACCGTATAAGCAATGCTGTAGGGATGGCAGATCAATAGATGAAGTAGTGAAACTTCATCAGTTGAGGTGGTTGGGACATGTGCTGCGTATGCCTAACCACCGACTACCCCGACGAGCTTTGTTTTGCAGTGTAGGAGTAGGTTGGAAGAAAGTTAGGGGCGGCCGTACCAAAACATGGCAGAAATCCATGAAGTCACTGACAAGTGGACTGAATCATGTTGGCGGATGTAGGCTACCTGGTTGGTGTCCACGAGATGATAATAATCGATGGTTAGAGACCTTGAATGACATGGCTCAGAATCCACTCTTTGTGTTCTATGATGTTCTAAGCTTCTGCATTCCTCAAAATCTCTACCTTTCTCCTTCTAAATTTATCTCACTGAATTATACTTCTGGAATCATATATTCCCTCCTTTCTGCTAATATTATCACTATTACTATCACTCTTTGATTTGAACTGATAGTTGCGTCTCTGTGCTAATGTGCTATGGCAACCTGAACTGATTTACTTATGTACGACGTTCTGCGTTGTATCTATCTATCTATCTATCTATGGAAGTTCCTGTTTTCGAATTGTGCGAGTAGCTCAGGAGTTGTAGATGCGCACTGCTACTGATGAGTAGTCCCATATTAGGACGAAACGGCTGTATTTCAGTGCTTACAGGTTTCTGATGGTGATCTATCAATGACTGGTTGATGATTTCAAGGAATACTTACTTCATTCTTGTTTGAAACTCTTGAGCAGTGTATATTCACCACCTCTCCAGTGGGAGTTGGATCTAACATCTTAGGTATGGTGTGTTCGAACACAGGACAAGACATCATGTTTTTCTGCATAGAATTCAAGCTTGAATTGTTGCAGTCTGTGGCTGTGCATTAATTTTAGATTGGTACTTACTTACGCCTGTTACCCACAGAAGAGCATATACCGCCGACTAGCATTCTACAACTTATTCTTCTCTGAGCTTGGGACCGACACTAACCTCAGAGGGGTCCTACAAACGGAGTTAATTTTCGATTGATGCTTCCTTTGAAATTGATTTATTGACTTGTATTAACATTTCCGTTTGGGGAGAACATGACCAAAATTACTCTATCAGGTTGATTGACCTGATTTTACTAGATTCTACTTCTTGATTAATATCCTCGAACCCTGATCCATCCGATAATTGCCTATACTTTTATTGCCTCTACTACTATGGTATTTGGATTGACAATTACATCTCTTTGCGAATGTGGTATGGCAACTTGAATTAATGTACTTACGTACGAAGTTCTACGTTGCTGTTGATTGATTGATTGACTGATCAGGTTGATTTTGCAGTCTCTTTCAATAACCATTACAAAATGATATTTGAAGATAAGAGATTTTGTTACAGCGTACTTCACTACGATGAGTTTCTATCTTTTCTACAACAGCAAGTAAACATTTTTGTTTAGTGAGTTAGTTTTCTATGGGATGGAATTGTTAACCTCAACACCCAACCCTCCTCTATATCCGAGCTTAGGACCAACAGTAACCCCAGAAGGGTCCCATGCACAGATTAACGTTTATAATTACCCAGTTTTTTTTTAAAAAAAACCTATAAATCAAAGTCTAATGGAAAATGATCAATACGATGTTTTTTTTCTCTCTCCTCCCTCCTCTCTCTACAAAATCATTTTAGACATTGAATTCAATTTCACAATCGATTAGTCTAACTCCACTTAATACTACTACTAATAATAATACTAGTAGTAGTAAGAATCCTGTAACAAAAATCACAACTGATACTCCCAGTCAACGTACACGACAATTATCAAGTACACGTTCGTCATCATCGTCAGCAGCATCAGCATCATCTTCAGCGTCAGCATCAGCATCGTTATCTCAACATCGTCCGCCGACCAAATTAAACAATCCACCCAGTGTTGGAATAATTATAAATCATCAGAAACAGAACAATACTACAATTTCTTCTACAACTCCAAACAAACCCTCCAATAATAAAATCCAAGATAATCATGATCATAAATTGAATCATTCCGACGTGAATTCATCACCGGCGACTACAGGTACACGTGAAAGTCTGGCTAGTGGTGGCGGTTATTTCACTGCTGATGATGATTGTGTTTCATTTGGTGATGGGAGTATTAGTAGTGGTAATAGTAGTAGTCGTAGTAGTGAACGACGAATGGCGGCTATTCAGGCGGGTTCACCTTCAAGAAGTCATGCTGTCAATGACAGTAATAATCATACTACAACAACTACTACTCATGAACGACAACACATTCATTCATCAACTATGATGATAAACAAGCTGAGCAAAACTAATTCAATCAATGAAACACAGTAAGTGTGTGTTTGTTTGTGTTTGGGTGTGTGTGTGTGTGTCAGTGATGTTGTTTGTTATACGATACCATAAAACTCATCAATCAGAATATTCAGTCAGTCAGTCAGATGCAACGTAGAAGAGGTAGTAAAGGTATTAGAAGAAATCGGAGAGGTTAGGATTAGAAGATATTATTCAAGAAGTATGATTCAGTGGGAAAAGTTTAGAAAGTTAAAGCCTAGAGGGGTTGAAAAATCCAGGAGATTAGGATTTGAGAGAACACACAGAATAAATGCACCTGCGCCATTGCAAACGATTCTGACCCATGTCATTCAAGGTCTCTAACCATCGATTTTTATCATCTTGTGGACACCAACCACGTAGTCGACAACTACTGACATGACTCACTTCACTTGTCAGTGACTTCATGGATTTGTGACATGTTTTGGTCTGGCCGCCCCTAGCTTTCTTCCAACCTTCTCCTACACTACAAAACAAAGCTCGACGAGGCAGTCGGTGGTTAGGCATACGCAGCACATGTCCCAACCACCTCAACTGATGAAGCTTCATTACTTCATCTATTGATCTGCCATCCTTACCTAGTACTCGTTTCCTAATAACACCGTTGCTCACTCGGGTGTCCCACGATATACGAACAATGCTTCGAAATCAGAATATTGTCGAATTCTATGAGATTATCACTTTGAACTGATCAATGACATGCTAAGCAAGGACCTAATATAGTCTTGAATCACTGCTATGCTTTTATTGGCGGCACTCTATTGAATAGATTCTTTACTTGCCTTACCAGTTGAGTTAGAGACATAGGGATCAGCCTTTGTATCTCTCCAGGACGTACTCGTGATTAGCTCTATGAGGAAGTTTCTCTGAGTTTTAGTGAGAAGCCGTGACCAGTGGAATTCAACCCTGTCGAGTGTGGGGCAGTTACCTATCGAAGATAATGGTTGAGATTGTGCAAAAACCTTGGATTGATTTAAGTTAGACATTAATACTGTCGGATGCCTGATCAATAGTCTATAGATTAAGTGTGTTTGTGTGAGGGAACAAAGATCCTGGATTCGATTCTTGCATTACGATGGTCGTGAATGTGCACTGTTGATATCATTTTAGGGCAAACCAGTCGTTCACTGCTTCTAAATTTTTAATAGTGATCTAGCCAATGATCGATTCATGAGTTTAATAAGAATATTTACAGTAATAATGCGTAAATTAATGTTGGTAATAGTCATTCCTTTGAACTAGAATATTATGCTATTTTGAAGATGATGTGTCGACTAGTTATTGATTTGTGATATTTAAATTAATCTCTTTGAAATAATGAATTGATCAAGGTTGGATCATCGTTAGAAACCTTGAAGCAATGGTCGGCCGTTTCGTCCTGGTATGGGATTCACCAGTGGCAGTGTACTTCCGCGACTCAGCGAAGACAATGGATGAAGTTGCGCGAAATCCTTAGATTGATCAGGGTTATACATCAACAGATTTGGATGCTGGCTCTGACGCCTTAAGTATTTGCATTCCCATGCATGACTGAAGGTCCTGAGTTCCGATCCCGCGAGTATCAGGAGTTGTGAATGCGCACCGATTATGAGTCCCTTATCCTGACGAAACGGCCATCTTTCAGTGCTTCCAGATTTCTAATGGTGGTTTCACTGTGATCGATTCTTGATTTCAGAAAGTAATTCAGCAATCTCCAAGTTATCAGAAATCGACATCTAAAACGATAAATCTCTCTCCTCGACGGACTATGTTTTGTGGTGTAGGAGTAGTAGGTTGGAAGAAATCTAGGGGCGGCCAGACCAAAACATGGCACAAATCCATGAAGTCATTGACAAGTGGACTGAGTCATGTCGGTAGTGGTCGACTACCTGGTTGGGGTCCGCGAGACGAAAGTCACCAATGGTTAGAGACCTTGAACGACATGGCTCAGAATCGTTTGCAATGGTGCAAGTGCATCCATTCGTTGTGTTCTCTCAAATCCTAATCTTCTGGATTCGTCAACACATCTACCTTTGTCTTTCTAACTTTATCTCACTGAATTATACTTCATGAAAAATATCTTCAAACCCCAGTCTTCTTCATTACCAATGAATACCTCTTCTATCTTTATCTCTGTGGGATTTTATTTGACATTTGCGTCTCTGTGCAAATGTGGTATGGCAACATGAACCTATGCACATACGTATGAAGTTCTACGTTGCAACTGACTGACTGATCATTTTAAGTGTGTCTATGTACCGTTTGTATATATATATATATATATATATATATATATATATATATATATATATGTGTGACGTTTAGTTATATTGCTTATCTACCTAAGTCTGAGTAAGGTGTATGTGATTTGTAAACTTGTAATCTAAAATGTGAAATTCTAAGGTTTTAACTATCCAATCAGTATTCTACATCCGTCCAGTTTACTTAGGATACCAATGTATCAGGTTGAGTAACTCTATACGCTTAAATTTATTCCGATCTGTATGTTAAACAGCCGTTTTTTTACCACTCAATTAGTAGAGAAGGCTCATTCTCACTTATACTAACTACAATTATTCACTAAACCCACTACTAATCAACTACGTTTTTTGTTATCTATAAACATAGTAAAACAAACAATTGATATAATCATGCGTGAACTGTCACCATTTCGAATCCAGGTGTCCTTAGCATCCCCTTATACCATTATTCAGCTAATAACTTGCTAAATTCTTGTTATATCGATATATAACTTGTACACGACAGAAATACTGTTGTAAATTCAATTATGATTGTGGTGTTGTTTGGTTCTCTGAGCTGAGAATGTTTTGGTTGTGGAGCTTTCATCATTTCTTTTCTGAACAACATCATCAGCAGCACAAACTTCAGATAGAAGAAGTGAAGTATTCGAATTTCCGCACGCGTTTGACCTTTAGCTTGTTCTGTTAACCTCGATCTTGACTGGTTTTTATTGATCATCAACCTGTCGTTGTTTGCATCTTTGTTTTGATTCTATCCCCTTTTTGACCTGTTCCTTGTGTAGGGTTCGTCACTTAGTATGCTTGAAGCTATTACGAGTTTACCTTAGTCGATAAACGCGAACGAGACTTTTACCAGCGTCCAGGTAGGCTACCTTGAATCCGAGGCCGAAGTAAAAAGGCTTTGTAAGCGTAGAAAGGTATATTTTACAAGCACCCAGCAATCACAATACAATCAAGCATACAACTCTTGTTTATTTATACATCATAGAAACGTCCTTGGGACAGTTACAAAAATAGCACACTAAAATACACAGCAGCCAATCACAGCCATGGATTTTCCTGATGGGAAATGAAATCTCAAGGTCGACTGACCAGCCCATGCTGGCAAACGTGAAAACCAAAATAAGGCATTATCAAGCGAATTTTAGGGATCTAACATCCCCAACACCTTGATCCTATGTCGAGTATAATTTTTCTGATTGGTTGATAAATTGGCTCAATGTCGATGTGCTGTTGATGTTGTTCAGAAGGAGAACCATGAAAGCTCGACAACCAAATCATCCAGCTCAAAGAACGAAACGCCACCGCAATCATGCACCTGAGCTATGAATTTTCTCCACTATCTCAATTATGACTGTGTGCGATCTGCTGGTCGATAATTCGGTCATGTTCGCCCTCTCACCTGCTAAACTTGATTATTCAATAGTGGTTACACTAGTCTTTTGGAGACTTCTAAAATATCCTTCAAAAAATGCCCAAAAATACCAGGGAACCTTCTATTCAATGCTGATTGAATAGAACTCTCACAGAATTACATGCTACGATTTTGATTGAATATTTAACCAAACAACTACTGTATTTGGTATGGTTTTCGAAACTTTCAGCAGCCCATTACTTACTTACTTATGCCTGTTACCCCCAATGGAGCATAGGCCGCCCACCAGTTTTGTCCAACCAACTCTGTCCTAGGCTTCTCTTTCCAGTTCTGACCAATTTTTGTTCATTCCTCTCATATCTTTCTCTATTTCTTGGCGTAATGTGTTCCTTGGTCTTCCTCTTTTCCTTTGACCTTGAGGGTTCCAACTGAAGGCTTGTCTTGTGACGCAGTTCGGTGCTTTCCGCAATGTGTGTCCTATCCACTAACTCCACCGCTTCTTCCTCATTTCCTCCTCCATTGAAGGAATCTGGTTCGTTCTCTCCCACAGTACAGTACGTTATTTCAGCAGCCCATGATCGTGAGTAATTCATCAAATATCCTGGTCTTTCCTTTATTACTACATGTAAACGAACCTTAGAGAGAGTAGACTTAATCAAATTTGCTTTTGACAATTGTAATTATTCCTCCTGTTTCATTGTTTGTGTTGTAACGCTGCTACGTGTATAGCTCTTCAGTCCTAACGGCGTCCAATTCAAATATCCCAATACGACCCAAAAGTCTTTTTTCCAAATCTCCTAAAAATCAGAACGTAACACCGTGGAAGGAAGTTGTTTATTGGGTCGAATACAGAAGAAGAGGCAGGTAGGGGAAACGGAATTATTAAGTCTTTCAGATAGTGCGTATTTATACACTAAGGTTGAATAAGAAAAAGCATCAACGTCTGTGACATTGACAATTTAGGACGACCAATAGAAAAGAACATTTGAATGACATTGACCGTCCAGATGACCAATAAGAGGTAACATTGAAGTATTTGACCTTGACGGTAAGAACGATCATAATTTTGACCAATAGAAATCGACCAATAGGATTATACTTCTAAAAATAGTATTCTTAGGATATTCGGTGAATATCCTAACAGTTTGTCTGTTTTTCTCTTGAAAAACCCCTTTTTTAATTTGTAGATCATCACCCGATCATCACAATCATCAAATGAAAGATCTGCGCAATAACAGTGATAACAGTCAAGAAGAAAAGCTACCGATTCCAGGCACAGCTGCTTCTGGCCCATTAATTCGAAGTGTAAAGCATACAGATGGTTCGGTAAGCGAGAGAGAATATCAATTTGGTCTTTTAAATTAAAAGCGAGCATAAATTGTTTTATAGTTGAACAATAATGTTAGAGATGAGTTCGTATCATTAGTGGCCAATGTGTGCTATCGGTCTTGTAGTAGTTAAGTTTTTTCTTCAATCAATCCCGGGTGGTGTCATGAAGAGTCCTATAGTTAGAAGGTAACAAGTGTTCGAGGCTTCTCGGTTTCTATTCATACCTTAAATTACAGTCAACTTGTAAGGAATACTACCATTTATTAAGTTAGCCTAACCGATGAATTACTAGTTTCAAGTTTTTTAAAGCTGTAATTGTTTAAGTGAACATTGAATTTGTGTGCACTGATATTTCGTAGATGCGTTCTGGTCAGTAAGTTGCAACTAGCGGGAAACTTGGATCAAAAGAATTTTTGTGCAATTCCCTCTAATAAATTATTCATTTAGTGTCGAAACATATTTTACGCTCTATTGTAGCTTGGTGAAGACTCTGACAAAACGCAGAGTCTTCTGAATACCCTAAGCAACAATGCAAGCATGTTCGGGATGCGGTTCTCACCCTCGAAATGCAAATTTTTGCTTCAAGATTGGTTTGCATCGGCACCTGAACTAGTGACAGGGAGTGACCGCTTCACTTATCTTGGGAGTCTCATCAGTGCTGGTGTCCTGGTGACTGACGAAATCTCAGCACGGATACAGAAAGCTCGGTTGGCTTTTGCCAACCTTTGTTATGAATGGCGCAGGCGAGATATCCGTTTGCTGACTAAAGGATGAGTGTACTGTGCAGCAGTTCGCTCTGTTTTACTTTATGGCTATGAAACATGGCCAGTCAGAGTAGAAGATATTCGTAGGTTATTGGTTTCCGATCACACATGTCTTCGAAGCATTGCTCATATATCCTGGGACATCCGAGCAACGCTGTTATTAGGAAACGGGTGCTAGGTAAGAATAGAAGATCAATAAATGAATTAATGAAACTTCATCATTTGAGGTGGTTAGGACATTTGCTGTGTATGCCTAACCACCGACTACCTCGACGAGCTTCGTTTGGTAGTGTGGGAATAGGTTGGACAAAAGCTAGGGGCACCTAGACCAAAACATGGCAGAAATGCATGAAGTCACTGACAAGTGGACTCAGTCATGTCGATAGATGAAGGCTATCTGGTTGGGCTCCGAGAGACGAAAGTCACCGATGGTTAGAGAGACCTTGAACGACATGGCTCAGAATCGTTTGCAATGGTGCAGGTGCATTTATTCTTTGTGTTCTCTCTAATTCTAACCTTCTGAATTCCTCATAATCTCTATCTTTCTCCTTCTGAATTTATCTCATTGAATTATACTTTTCGAATCATATCTTCGCTCCCTAATCTCCTCCATTACCGCTGATACTTCTACTATCACTATCATTCTTGTATTTGAACTGATAGTTACGTCTCTGTGCTGATATGGTATGTCAACCTGAACTGATGTACTTACGTACGACGTTTTATGTTGTATCTGCCTGTCTGTTATTACTACTATTCACTGAATCTCTTCAGTGTGTACAATCATCAATACAATTGATTTTTATTCAAATTTTCGCTTTTCAATTCTAGGTTGAACATACTTATTCAAATGGTGCTATTGTTGTATCGTATGCTAATGGTTCAGTAAAAGAAATATTTCCTGACAGCGTCACTGTTGTTGTATCTTTATTCAATGGAGATATTAAACGAACTTTACCAGATGGTCGTGTTGTAAGTGCATGCCTATTTATGTGTGTGTCATGTATTTTAGTCGCTTTGAATCTTGCCCATTTGATGTTTCGAACGTGCGATTTGGCCAGTCTCCATTTGGCATATATGTGCATCTTGTGTGTGTGTGTGTGTGGCCGCTGACTAGCATTCTCCAACCTACTCTATCACGAGCTTTCTAGTTGTATCCAATTGTTGTTCGATCTTGTCATGTCAGTCTCCATTTGTCGGCGTAATGTGTTGCTTCATCTTTCTCTTTTCCTTTGACCTTGAGGATTCCAGGTTCGAGCTCGACTTGTGACGCAATCGGGTGCTTTCCTTAGTATGCGTGTGTTCTATCCACTTCCAGCGCTTCTTCCTGATTTATTTGTGCTGATGGTATCTGGCCAACGGATCTTCAGTTTCTTGTGGAGGCAACTGTTAATAAACACTGTATATTTCCAGTGATGGCTTTCGTGGTTCTTCAAGTTTCCGCTCCATAAAATAAAACTCTTTTGACTTTCGTATTTAAAATTCTAATTTTGGTGTTGGTTGATAGCTCTTTAGAGTTCTACATGTTCTTTAATCATAGAAGTGCTACCCTTGCCTCTTATTAATCCATGTCTTTACATCGGCATCAGTTCCACATTTTTTAATCAAGTATACATCTTAAGAAAAGGCAGTATTTACTTTCGTTGTAGAGATCGTTTATCAAGAAGTTATTTCCTATCATGAAGTGAGATCAATTGACAAGAGTTATTACATATCAAAATCCAAAACTCTTTAACTATTCTCATTCACTATTCTCATCAAATGTGATCTTATCTTGGACGCTTAGTTCTTCGCAATGCACGATCTTCATAATGATCTTATTTACTGACTGATTTCGAAGAGAAATCATCTTCATTTTAGTTTGAAACCTTGATTCTCAAAGTTCGCCTGTGTTACGGAATGACAGATCGATGAAATAAATGTTATCGATCGTGATTGGAGCGAGCTATCGATGACTTCTGCAGAAGAAGAATCTCAAGGTTGCCCTGCTCCTAAAGACACTCCTTATCTTGTATGTATGAAGAAACCGACCTTTAATTTTTTCCATACTTCCTACCATCGGTTTCTTATTCCAGTATTCATGCCTAGAAGTTGTCTCAACATCGTAGTACAATACATTTTCAAGATAATTCTGTCTCTAAAATTTTAAACTGAGTCAACTTGAAAATACATATCTCATGCTACTGTATCTCAATGATCCTTGATTCCATTCAGTACGACGGTATCGAATACTATTATATAACAACAATATTTTCACAGTTAATCATGGTCAACCAACAGGCCAGCTGCACATGCACATCGCTGCGTTGATATGCAGCGCAAGGATTCTCACTGTCACCAACAGTAATCACCCCTGCCCCTTGCGGGAACATACATGTTGTCTAGGTTGGGCTGCAGACAAGTTGGACATCCAAAGAGTACGCACACGAGCAGTAACCCCCGCCCGGGCACTTATGAATCAAAGGATCCCTCCAACCAATCCACTACCCACAATCCCCAATCGGCGAGGGCGGCAAGGCGGGCTTGCCCAGCTAGACCTGGCACCCCGAAGCGGATTACCGAGCCACCCAAGCAGTGCACTAACCAGCAGCCATTCCAACCGTCTGGCCTCCAAATGCCCTGCGCTGAACAATCGACCGGAGTCCCCAAGGCCCCACATGAAGCTAAAGATCGAGTTTTTCTCACAAGGTCAGCTAGAACGTACACCTTTCCATGAGGAAGATGTCATGGGCTCGACCAAGCGCAAGCGCTCAGCCAAACAGGGTTCATCCCACAGAAGTGGGCAGACATCATTGGTGTCCAGTACCTTTTCAGCACTGGAGCACTGGAACCCAACTGGAGACCCTTGTTTAAGGGGCCTCGACACCAGTTCACACACTACATCGGGTGCAGAGTGTAAGGGATAACCACATAGGGTCGGAGTCTATAGTCCAGGATGTCTGCGGCTGCCTCCCCAAACAGAACGTCTAGGGCAGCCTTCAATCGTCCCAGAAAGCTACATCCATTCCAAGGTATTTGCTACTACGGAATGATAGAGGACAAGTCCTCAACCATTATCGAAATTTACCTACGCTCGAAGGACGGGATTCAGACCTAGAGACGTTCAGTCGTAATGCCACAGAGTGGTCAACCGCACCCACAGCCTGGCGATTATGAACACGTGCGATCATAGGATACTATGCTAGGCATGGTATCCTAAGCGTCCGGAACGGCATTTAGCCGCAGCGATGTATGCACCGCCACGTTGCCTAGCGGGACCACGAAGAGGTAGCCGTCACCACAACCCCCAAAAGGCTCCATTTATGCGCGTCACCTTATATATCCCTTCAATTAGATGACGAGGCATTTGGCTACCTTAAGAGAGTCATTGTTACTCCCGCCGCAGTTAATATTTGGATTTGTGTTTTGGCTTAAAGATAGATGTCACATTTTTTGTTGATTATGTTAATTCGATTCAAACTACTAACTATTTATTAAGTAATATGTTCGCTAGTCAGCTACAATGTGGAGCTTCGGACGTACGTACGTACGTACATACATCAGTTCAAGTTGCCATACCATACTACTACGCTCAACTATTTCACTCCCTATCACTAGTTCAGGTGCCGATACAAACGAATCCTGAAGCGAAATTTTGCATTTCGAAGGAGGGAACCGTATGCCGAACATGTTTGCATTGTTGTTTAAGGTAGTCAGATGAGTCTGCATTTTGTCAGCGTCTTCAGCAAATAGAACTAAGTAATTGGCATATTATGAGTGAATCTCCTGGTAAAAGTTCAACTCTTGAAAAGTGAGAGAGAGAGAGGTCGAATTGTCAATTCAAACCCAACAGTGGTAGAGGTAGTGGAAGTATTTGAGTTAACAGCAAAAGTCTGGGGTTCGATGACATGATTCGACAAGTATTATTTCCAGTGAGGTTAATTTAAAAATAGTTTGATTTATTTGTTCTGGCTAACGTTTTTTAGTGAGTTAGTTTTTTTTTGTGGGATAAAGTCGCCAACCCCACGGCCAACCCTCCTCCTGTACCCAGGCTTGGGACCAGCAGTAGCCCCGAAGAGTCTACAGGCGGAATGGAAGTGGATAGGACACACACACTGCGAAAAGCACTCGACTGCATCACAAGACAAGCTGTTTCCCGGAGTCCTCAAGGTAAAAGGAAAACAGGAAAATGAACGAAATTTGGAAAGAACTGGATAGGGAAGCCCAGGGTAAATTTGGTTGGAGAAAACTGGTCGGCGGCCTATGCTCCATTGTGGGTAACAGGCGTGAAAAAAATTTGAAAAGAGAATAAAGGTCACGACGAATTGTCTCATGGTCGCCAACAAGGTAGTCTATGTATGCCTAACAACATGACTCAACCCAATTGTGAGAGACTTCATGGATTTGTCCCATGTTTTGATCTAGCCGCCCGTAGTTTTTTTCATCCTATCCCTACATCATAAAACATTGCTCATCAAGGTAGTCAGAAAGAATTATGTTATTAGTAATGGTGTGCTGCGCGCTACTTATAAGTAGTATATGACGTGAGTGTCAACGTAATGTCTGGCAGCAGAAGATGAGGGAAGATCAAGAAAGGAAGAAGAGTGGGAACACAATTGAATTTGTATGAAACGCATGAATAAGTGAAATGTCAGACAATGGATTGATGATGGATTGAAGATTTGCAAATTAACCGTTTACGATATGGTTTTCCTATGGTTTACCAATTAACTCTGTAATTTGAGATAAATTCAATTCGGTTGCCCTCACCTGTATTCTCCTTCACTATAATGGTAATATATATGCATGTTTTCAAAAAGTTTGACGCTAATGTTCAACGTTTAATTTATATCTGATTCAAAAAATTCCAAAATTTGTCTTTACCTATTCTAATTTTTTATTTCTACACACACACACACACAAAACATATTTAGATTTATCATTATGCAGCTGATGGAACAGTTCAGATAACTTTTCCTGATGGTACCGAAGAAATTCGATATTCTGAGTAAGTAAATTTAGTTTATTTGTGTATGTGTTTGTGTGCGTTTGAAGGTGTTACGCATGCATGTAAACGCGTCATTTGATATGCTTGCACCATTACGAGTTTACTTTAGTCAGTAAACGAGAACGAGGTTCGCTGATCCGGCGACACTGCATGCTACTCTAATCCGATTGTCCTCAAACCCCCATTGAGTAAAAGAAGAAGACTTGATATGAAGTAGAACATGTATTCCACAAGCATCCAGAAGAGGCTAAGGATCTTGGACTAAAGATCCTGGTCTGGGTCATATAACGTTACAGATAATGTTTATTTTTATAAAGTTAGATCGAATAGGAAACAACATGGAAGTCTGTGACGACCATAATATTGACCAGTAGGAATTGGCCAATAATACTCTTAGGATATGGGATGAATATCCTAACAGAAGTAAATAATCATTTCTCTATGAAACACATGCACGACCGTAGCTGCTACCTTATCATGGTGGTCGGGATTGCCTATCTTGATGACCCAACCGAGCTATACTGGTTGGAACATATGTTTTTGTAGGTTCTACTATACTGAGCAGATCGATTGGAGAACTGAAGGTTTGAGGGCGAAGTCGTACTGCTGACTGTAGAACGGATGTAACACTAAAAAAAGACCGTGCGTGACCGGCCTTAAGCAGTTGTCCCTTGGGCTCTGCGGTCACGCTCCCAGGTCTCTAAGACCAACACTAATCTATCTTCCTTTTCAGGTCTCTCAAGAAACAACCTTCCACGTTGTGGGCAGCCGGGAAATGTCAACCGCCCTCATACCCGTTACAGCAGGAGAGACCAAATCGGTCGAAATCAAATCTGACTATTCATCTCATTCGGTATCTATGTGATGTGAAACTATGAAATGTTGCAACTTTTTGTCATGTGCCTTGTTGACTTATGATTGATTAACAAACTACCCAAACTATCCAAGTCTTAGCTGAATAATTACTGTACAGATTCAGTCAGTCAGTTACAACGTAAAACTTCGCACATGAGTACATAAGTTCAGGTTGCCATACCACATTATCACAGAGACGCATCTGTCAATAGTGGTAGCGGTGTGGTGCGAGCTACTTATAAGTAGTATATGACGTGAGCGTCAACGTAGTGTCTGGCAGCCGAAGATGGGGGAAGATCAAGAAAGGAAGAGTTAGAACACAATGGCATTTATATGAAACGCATGAATAGTGACAATGGATTGATGTTTTGCAAATTAACGATTTACGATATGGTTTTCCGATTTTACTGAGTAACTCTGTAATTTTCGTTAAATACAATTCGGTTGCCCCACCTGTGTTCTCGTTCATTACAGTAGTAGTAGAAATATTAGCAGTAATGGAGAAGATTAGGGTTCGTAGATATTATTCGAGAAGTATAATTCAGCGAGATAACTTTAGAAAGAGAAAGATAGAGATGACGAGGAATTCAGAAGTTTAGGATTTGAGAGAACACAAAGAGTGGATGCACCTGCTCCATCGCAAACGGTTCTGAGCCATATCATTCAAAGTCTCTAACTATCGGTGACTTTCATCTCGCAGACCCCGACCAGGTAGTCGACACCTACCAACATGACTCAGTCCACTTGTCAGTGGCTTCATGGATTTCAGCCATGTTTTGGTTTGAAATAGCTAACTGTACAGAAAAAAACTAGGTATAGAGATGGATATTCGAGTTTGGATTTTTCAATCACTAATGAGGATGATGATGTAAAGAGTATTTTAAATTTTAAAAAAAATGGGAAAAATCTTTTTTTTCTATATTTTTATTTCAGTGGACGTCAAGAAATTATTCATTCATGTCGACAAACTACCAATTTAGACAAAATATTACTACAACCAATGACAACAGTTCATTCATCATCAAAATCTTTGCTAAATAAACAAACTTATCAACAAATTACCAATCAAAATAATGATATTAAAGAGATCTTGTTACCAAATGGTCAACGTGAAATTCATTCTAGTTCAGGGATTAAAGTGAGTTGAATATTTTTATGTATCAGTAATGGTTGGTATTTTTCACTTGACCGACACCTCTTGAAGTAAACCAATTCCGATGACAGTTCGCCATAAGCTGTCACTCAACCTGTAGTGTTCTAGTAGAAAGCTTGTATAAGGTTAATGTACTTCTTTGGTACACCTTTCAATGACAGACACTACCACAAAATCCTTTCGATCAACAAAGTCAAATGCTGCTTTCAGGTCCATGAAGATAACTGTTGTTGCACGCCTAAATATTGTTCCTGTATTCCGGGACCTGTCGTAGAGTGACGAGCTTAGATTTCGTCAGTCACCAGACCATCAGCACTGATGAGACTCCACAGATAAATGAAGCGGTCTACACGCTTGACTACTTCACTCCCTATTATTAGTTCAGCTGCCGATGCAACCCAGTCTTGAAGCAACATTTTGCATTTCAAGGGGGAAAACCGCATCTCGAACATACTTGCATTGTTGCTTAGGGTAGTAGTCAGAAGGCTCTGCATTTTGTCAGCGTCTTCACCAAGTAGGATTATGTCATCGGAATATTCTAAATCAATAAGCTAACCTCCTGGTAAAACGTCCACTTCCGAAAATTCAGACGAGGATGAGGTTATTTCTAGGAGCATGTCTATGATAAAATTAAACAAGCATAGAGAGAGTGGACATCCCTGACGGACACCACTTGAAGTGAAGCTTGTTTAAGGTCATTGTATTTCTCTAGTACACCTTTTAATTACAGACACTGCCACAGAACCTCACGATCAACAAAGTCAAATGCCTCTTTAAGGTTCAGGAAGACAACTAATGTTGAACGCCTAAATATGTGTCTGTGTTCCAGGACCTGTCGTAGAGTGAAAATGTGGTCTATACAACGACGTTCAGATCTGTAACCAGCCTGGTTTTCTCTAGTCTGCTCTTCACGAGCTCTAGTTTGACGTGTAAGTATAATCGAGGCTAACAATTTAGATACTATATCAATTAAACTGACTCCTCTGTGATTGTCAGACGAAGACTTTTGTCCTTGCTTATAAATTGGGACAATCAGGGATTGAGATCAGTCGCACCCACTTCCCAGATTCTACCTAAGATCGCAGTCAATTTAACTGCTGAAACTGGACCACCATCCTTAAAAATCTCAGGGGTCACCCTATCCGGACCCTCTTTGAATTCGTGAGTCGATCATGGTTTGACCATCATTAGAAACCTGAAAGCACTAGACTGCTTGTTTTGTCCTGGTATAGAACTCATCAGTGGCAGAGCGTATCCACGACCTCCGCTGTCGGGAATCGAACTGAGGACCTTCGATTTCGCGTGCGGATGCTTAACCTCTAGACCATTGAGCCGCCATCCAACGGTGTTAATGTCTTACTTTGATCTTCCTATAGAACATTCCAATCACAATGAATAATCAGTCAGCTGCAACGTAGAACTTCATACGTACGTCCGTCCGTCCGTACATCAGTTCAAGCCGCCATATCAAATTAGCACATAGGTATCGAATTCTCAATTCAAATCTCATAGTAATAGAGGTAGTCAAAGTATTAGCGGCAGTCAAAAAGATTAGGGTTTGAAGAGATTGTTCAATAAGTGTATCCCATAGGAATCAATTTAAAAATAAAAAAACGAGAAAGAACCAAAACTTCGTTAGAAATTCAGAAGACAAGAATTTCAGAGAACACAAAAAGTGGATGCACCTGTGCCATCGCAAACAATTTTAAGCCATGTCCTTATTCAAGGTCACTAACCATGGGTAATTTTCATCTCACCAACTCTAACCAGTTAATCTAAGCCTGTTAACATGCCTCATTCCACTTGTCAATGATTTCATGGCTTTGTGCCCCTAACTTACATTGATTCAAGTTACTATACTTCATGAACATAGTTTAAGTGAATCTCAGACTAGTTGCGTTGGAGGGTTAGTCATGGGATTAGCGTACACCCAACCACCGACTGCCCCGACGAGTGATATTGTCTAATGTAGGGTTACCCTAGAAGAAAGCTAGAGGTGACCAGATCAAGATATTGCATAAATCCATAAAGTCACTTACAATTGGATTGAGCCATGTTGGCAGGTGTAGACTATCTGGTTAGGGTCGGCGAAACAATCGTAACCTATGTTTAGAGACTAAAAAGACTGAACGGCTCAAACTCGTCTGCAATAGCGTAGGTGCATCCATCCATTATGTTGTCTGAATTCGAATCTTCAGAATTCATCATCCCTATCTTCCTCTTCTCAAATTTATTTCACCGGATTACACTTCTTTATTTTCGGGCAGTGTTTTGGAGGTTTGTGTTTTACACATTTGAAATCATCAATCAATGATTGTTAGGCCACCATTACAAACCTGGAATCACTGGACGGCCGTTTCGTCCTAGTATGAGACTCATCAGTAGTGCGCATCCACGACTCCTGCACCTCGCAGGATTCGAACCCGGGACCTTCGGTATTGTGCTCGAACGCTTAACCATCGTGGACGCGCACTGCCACTGATGAGTCCCATACCAAGACGAAACGGCCGTGTAACAGTGCTTTCAGGTTTCTAATGGTGGTGGTCTAAAAATGATTGATTGGTGATTTCAAATGTGTATACTTCTTTAATAATTTCTTCGAACCCTAATCTTTTCTATTGCTGCTAATACTCCTACTGTGGTGCGAGCTACTTATAAGTAGTATATGACGTGAGTGTCAACGTAATGTCTGGCAGCAGAAGATGGGGGAGAAGATCAAGAAAGGAAGAGTGGGATCACAATGGAATTTGTATGAAACGCATGAACAGTGAGTGAAATGTCAGACAATGGATTGATGATGGATTGAAGATTTGCAAGTTAACGGTTACGATATGGTTTTCCAATTTTACTGAGTAACTCTGTAATTTTCGTTAAATTCAATTCGGTTGCCCTCACCTGTGTTCTCCTTCACTACATATGTACATCTACTATCAGGATTTGAATTGACGATTGCTGCTCCTTGGATGATGTGGTATGGCCACCTGGACTGATGTATGTACGTACGACGTTCTAAATTGTAACTGACTGATTTTCTAAGGAGGATGGATGTATTTAAATAAGCAAGCATTCTTGTATATAATTCGGTGGTCAAATGGACTTTCTGTTTTTCGGTTCCTCATTTCTCACTCAAGTAGCGTTTTTTTTCTGAAATGGCGGGGAGGCGTCAAGATGTGTATCGTGTTCAGATCATCACAACACACATCCCTTTATTTTTGTGTAAATCTTTAGTTTTACTGTGAGGTATTAAACTTTGACAACTGAAACCGAAGCTTATTCATGGTAAGTCGTGTATATTTTATATAACCGACTGTTTTAATAGTTACAGCCATGATTGAAGCGTGTAAATATACTATACGCTGAAAAATAGTAATTTTCAAAGTTACTTTTTTAGAAAATGGCTGATCAAAGAAAGTTTTTTGATTTTTTATTTATTTTCATTCTTAGTGTCGTATATATCCAGATGGTACCACAAAAACTGTATTTCCTGATGGTCGACATGAGACGCGTTACAGTTCTGGACGATTACGTGTCAAAGATGCCAATGGGAATTTATTATTAGACACTAGATTACCTATATCAAATAATAACAGTAGTAATAATGGATTTGTAAACAGTAAATAAATCATCCAATTATTTAAATTTTAATGCTGAAATCAACTTCAGAATCAAAATCTGAGCTTTACGTTGTGTCACAACGTTGTAGCCGTCGTCTACGTGAACTAACTTGGCTGTGATCTTGTCATTTCTTTTAACTTTTGTCCTGTCGATCTACACTGTTATTGTTGTTCTTCTGTTTTTACACACAATCATCAACTGAAATTGTGTTGCCTTCTTTTTTGTTGATTCAAAAAAAAGAGGGAAATAATAATATTTAGGAAACGAATTCAGTTTTTAAATTTTCTGCAACCTTTTTTTCCCCAAACTTTTTCACCGCGAGCAAAAGAGATTTGTCTCCTTTTTTGAGACCACTTACCTGTGTCTGTCTGTCTATCTATCTGTTTGTATGACGATCTTCCCTGTGAAGCTCAACCATTCAGAAACGTCCTTTTAGCTAACATGCACTTCACATTCTTATTGGACCTGTGTATGTGTTTGTCTGTTTATCTATAACCTTGGATTTGTTCTCATCATCCAATCAGTGAATAGAAATTGGGTATCCTTTTTATTGTACATAAATTTTTTTTTCTGATAGAAATTGTGAAAATTGTGACAGTTTACTATTGCAACGATTTGATTTTTTTGCTCAATTGTTTTCACCATTATCATCTAGTGACGATTTTTTTTAATTTAGATTTATGATTACTAATATTACGTAACAAAGTATTATTATTATTGCGTTACAATTAGTGATAACAAAACGTTGTTTACTTTATATAATAAATAATATATTGTTTTTTTTTATAGTATGAAAAGAGTTTTTCGTGTTTAGTTTTCATCATTTCAGTAATTTCTTTTCGCTTCATTCACTTTTTTGGTGCACAAATAAACTTAAACTCGGTTAATTTATATTTTCTATGAGTTTTGGTTTGTTTCGTCAACATACTCCAATGGTAAGTCATAAATCGAAAGCCAAGAAAGAAAGAGGAGCAATGTGTACTCTTGTAAATGGTGAAATGTACACGGATATCAAATTGTTATGCATGCATGTAAACACGTCAAATTGATATGCTTGAACTATTGTTACGGGCTTACCTTAGACAGTAAACGAGAGCAAGGATCCGGCGACACGACAGGCTACTCTGATCCGATTGTCCCAAATTCGCCAATGAGTAGAAGAAGACTTGATATGAAGTGGAACATGTATTCTATAAGCATCCCGAGTCCGGGTTATAAAATGTTGCAGATAATGCGTATTTACACAGTTAGGATGACCAATAGGAAACAACATTGAAGTCTGTGACATTGATAGCTAGGACTGTAGGATCCAAACTGAGGTTTGGACTGAGGAATACCTGTCTAGGTAGTTTAGGTACGCGTCTTGACTAGTTGAAATCAAAACAAGTGATTTGGCTAAACATCGGTTCTAATATTCATGATAAATATAAATTTACATCATAACCTAAACAAACATTATCGCTCAGTTATTCCACCAACAATTATTCAAATAAACAGCAACAAATAAATGTTATTCTATTCTTTCTGGATAGACCAGATTCCTTCAAAAGATAATATTCGGTTGCTTCATAACACAGATTGCTTTAATTCACAATCTAAATGCACAATTACAGGCAACTCAATCAAAGTAAACACAAATAAATATGGCTGCCGTCAAGACTAAGTATCAGCTCAAACAACATAATTGCAGTACAGAAAGAAGCATAGAAACTTAGTGAAGGCTAAAGAAATAGAAACTATAATAAATTACAAATATTACCATCTCAAATAGGAATAGAACAGATTCACAAAATGTACAACTGAAGGAATCAGCAAGAACGAATTACATATGTATACATGAAGGGATAGACAGACAGACAGATACAGCGCAGAACTTCGTACGTAAGTACATCAGTTCACGTTGCCATACCACATCAACACAGAGACGCAACTGTCAATTCAAATCCAAGAGTGATAGCGATAGTAGAAGTATTAGAAGTAATGGAGAAGATTAGGGAGAGAAGATATGAATCGAGAAATATAATTGAGATAAATTTGAAGGAGAAAGATGATGAGGAATTCAGAAGATTAGGATCTGAGATAACACAAAGAAAGGATGCACCTGCGCCACTGCAAACGATTCTGAGCCATGCCGTTTAATGTGTCTAACCATTGGTGACTTTCGTCTCGCGGGCCCCAACCAGGTAGTCGACACCTACCACATGACTCAATCCACTTGTCAATGACTTCATGGATTTGTGCCATGTTTTGGCCAGGCCACCCCTAGCTTTCTTCCAACCTACTCCTACACCACAAAACAAAGCTCGTCGAGGCAGTCGGCGGTTAGGCATACGTAACACATGTCCTACCCGCCTCAACTGATAAAGTTTTACTACTTCATCTACTGATTCGCCATCCCTACCTAGAAATCGTTTCTTGACGACACGAATGGTAAATTGTCTGCTTTTTTGTTTTGACAGGGTTAAATCAAATTAATGATTTTACTAGGATCCTGTATGCGCGTTTCCGAGACGCAGCATACATCGATGGCGCAAGATTCTAAAGTTCTAGCTAACGAAGCCTGTTGCCCTATTTGACATAATGTCCGTACATTAAAAGCTCCAGCATGTAGTCTAGAACGGGGTTTCAAGAGACCAGGAATGACGTTTCGCGAATTCGAATCGTTTGCATTAGCCGTGCAGTGAGATGAAGGAATGTGAGTAGAGTTAGTTGTGGAGAGAAGAGAGGTAGGTGTGGGAGTAGGAAGGATTTGATTTCGACCAATTCGGTCTCGTGTGCTGTTACGGGTATGAGGGCGGTTGTCAATTCCCGGCTGCCCAAACCGTGGAAGGTCGTTTCTTGAGGGACCTGAAAAGGAAGATAGATTAGCGTTGTTCATGGAGACCTGGGAGCGTGACCACAGAGTCCAAGGGACAACTGCTTGAGGCCGGACACGCACGGCCTTTTTATGAAGGGTTTTTCTGAGTATTAGCTCCGCTCTTGAAAGCCCTTAGTAGGCACCCTTACCAACGGAGACGGAAATCCGTGAGGTAAGGTGAGGTGTGACATTTTTATGGTCGACCTTTTCTAACCCTTCCTTCCTGGTGGTGAGAAGGTAGCATCGCTGCAGATGCTGGTTGTCCGAGGGAAACACCTTACTGCTGTCACACCCCTCTGCAGTCAGCAGTACGACTTCGCCCTCAGACGTTGAGTAGCTGCTTTTAGTCTTATCGTTCTCCAATCGACCTGCCTGGAATAGTAGAACCTTCAAGAACATAAGTTCCAGCCAATATAGCTCGGTTTCGACATCACGATAGGCAAGCCCGACCACCACGTCACGGTTGTAGATACGGTCCGGGTTCTCACAAACAAAAATCTTACAAGAACGACCAATAAGAAACATCGTTTTAAGAATGGGACATTGATAGTTATGACGACCTATAGGAACTGACCAATAGAATTAGATTTACAAGCAATTATCATAGGATATTTGTTGATTATGCTAACACAAGTATGATTTATAATTTTTCGTCAAAACATCATCACGAGAGTTCACTCCAGCGACAGCAATGTTACACAAATATTCAGTCATCTTTATGCTACGTCGATATTTGATAGAATATCTATAGATTCTTTAGAGCCCCTACTAGAGGCTTTATTGAACTTTATGAAAACCAATACAACGGTTTAACTTGATATCGATTTTTCACATCTGATAGTAGTAAGAGTAAAGTATACCGACTCCCTACATTGAACTAATCAAAATTGGGTCACTTCTTCAAAAATTTTTTTAGTGAAATTCACAGTGCATAGGTTTTATTATGAGTTTTCAGTCAGTCAGTCAGATGCAACGAAGAAATTCGTACGTATGTACATCAGTTCATGTTGCTATACCACTTTAGCACAGAGATATAATCGTCAATTCAAATCCAATAGTAGAAGAGGTAGTAAAGATATTAGAATTAATCGGAGAGGTTAGGATTAGAAGATATTATTCAAGAAGTATGATTCAGTGAGATAAATAAGTTTAGAAAGTCAAAATTAGAGGTGTTGGAGAATCCAGAAGATTAGGGTTTGAGAGAACACAAAGAATGTATGCACAGGCGCCATTGCAAACGGTTTTGAGCCATGTCATTCAGGGTATCTAACCATCGATTATTATCATCTCGCGGACCCCAACTAGGTAGTCGACAACTGCCGACATGGCTAAGTCCACCTGTCAATGACTTCATGGATTGCCGCCATGTTTTGGTTTGGCCGCCCCTAGCTTTCTTCCAATCTACTCCTACACCACAGCCTTAAAGTAAGACGGAGCGAACTACTGCACAGTACACTCGTCCTTTAGTCAGCAAACGGATATCTCGCCTGCGTCATAATTGACACAGGTTGGCAAAAGCCAATCGAGCCTTCTGTATCCATACTGAGATTTCGTCAGTCACTAGGCCATCAGCACTGATGAGACTCCCCAGATAAGTGAAGCGGTCTACATGGTCCGACTACTTCACTCCCTATCACTAGTTCAGGTGTCGATGCAACCCAATCTTGAAGCAACATTTTGCATTTCGAGGGTGAGAACCGCATCCCGAACTTGCTTACATTGTTGCTTAGGGTGGTCAGAAGACTCTGCATTTTGTCAGCGTCTTCACCAAGTAGGACTATGTCATCGGAATATTCTAAATCAATAAGTGAGCCTCCTGGTAAAAGGTCTACTTCCGAAAATTCAGACGAGGATAAGCTTATTTCTAGAAGCGTGTCTATGATAAAATTAAACTAGAATGGAGAGAGTGGACATCGCTGACGGACACTCCTTGAAGTAGAGAATTCCAGTGATAGTCCAGGTCTGAAGCCAGCCTGGTTTTATCGAGTTTGCTCTTCACGAGCTTTCGTTAAGCGTCGAAGTATAATGGAGGTTAACAATTTAGAAACTATTTTAGTTATACTTATTCCCCAGTGATTGTCACAAGAAGACTTTTGTTCTTTCTTATAGATTGGGACAATCAGTGATTGAGACCAGTCGGTTGGGGTTACTACAGTGAATGTGATATTGTACTTACGGGTAAGAGTACGTGATACAATTTAATTAATTAACTGATTGATAACCAAGCATCATGATTATTGATGTCAGTTGGTGATGAAAACCATAACTTTAATTCCTCATCATCATCATGATTGTAGCTCAACTCCTGATGCTTAACTTAAATCTTTTCGCATTAGAACTGATGAGACACTTCGTGATGAGAACCTTAACATTTATTGATATGTTTAATCTAATTCTTATTATCTAAACTTTTTATCTTTGTGTTTGACAAATAATGAAACATGCTGTTAGTCAGTCAGTTAGCTACATATGTACATACGTTCATGTTGTCATTTCACATCAGCATAGAGAGATGGAATTTTCAATTCCCATACTACTAGGATAGATATATGTGGTGATCAACAAGATTGGAGAACGACGATATGATTCAAGGTGTACATCCCAGTGGGAAAAATTTAATAAAGAAGAACGGTCATGAGGAATTCTAAAGGATTTGAATTAGAGAAGAGACGAAAAACTGATGAACCTGTGCCAATGCAGATGATTTTAAGTCATGTCATTTAAAATCTAATCATCGATTACTATTTTCTCGCGTACCACAACCAGGTATCGATGCTTCGAAGACTCCAATGATCAAAAACCAGTAATCTGAGAATATCTTCTACTCTTACTTGCCATGTTTCACAGCCATAAAGTAGGACGGGGAGAACTAATGCATAGTAAACTCGCTCTTTGATTAGTAGGCGAATCTTTCGTCTACATCAAAGTGCTGTAATTTGGCATAAGCCGAACGAGTCTTTTCTATCCGTGCTGAGATTTTTTCAAACACCAGGCTATCGGCACTGATGAGACTCCCGAGATAAGTGAAGCAGTCTCCAGACTCAACTACTTCAACAAATAGAGAACTATATCAACTGCATATTTTAAGTCAATAAGTGAATCTACTGATAGAAGGCCAACTCTTGAAAAGTCAGACAGCGAAAATGATGGTATCTCTAAAAGTATCTAATAAGTGATTGGTCGTATCAAAGCTATTTATACCTACTATAATTTGATTCGTTAAAACAAAGCTCAAGGTTGTCAGTATAGTATATAATGTGTGTGTCAGTGTGGAGTGACGAGCGCCCAAAAGGACGCTGCCGCTTTCAGGGAGGGTCATACTCTTCTTGACCACTGGTTTGTATAACCAGTGCTCTGACCACTAAGCTATGGAGGCCGATCCGTATTTCACACAACTTTCTATCCAGGATTCACAGACTCCAAAAATCGTCATAAACTCATCCACTCACATATCAATTTCCTCACAGTCTCATACATTCTACAAACACACAAGTGTCCTCAGTCAGTCAGTCAACTGATTAGTGAAGCTTTGAAACATGTCACAAGATGGCTGGTCAATGAGTCACTCGATTCATAGATTGGACTAGCGCACACATAGCGAATCATGGGATTTTTAAATCAACGCACCCCAGTCTATCAGTCAAGTGTTCTATGTGCACCTGAAGCCCAACTGTCAGTCGAGCATCTCTAAGAAGCTTAAAATGATTAGAAATATGGTAACCCCCAGGACTAACTTTCCGATCACCATACACATTAACATTGTATTATGATTATAATAATTAACATTATTACTATTAATACGACTAGTAGTAGTAAGTAGTACTGCTGTCAGACAGCTAGGTTATTGCATATTAGTACTCCTTTTGTCATAGCTCTTGACTAAGCCATTAACTACTGTCGTCAAGCTTTATCTGCCAGTTTATCATTCACAGACTCCCTTGTTCACAACCACTTTCGGCTTGTTTATGTATTTTCTCACTTAATGATGTGATGAGTTCTTGGTACGTTTATATATAAACTATGTCACTTTGAGATCGGGAGAATTTTTTGGCGCCTGTCTACGGATTCCTTAACTAATAGACAGGGCAGAGAGAGAGGAAAACTGTCGAGTTTCTGTGGGCCAATAAAGATTTTGAACTAATTCAGGGTTCCTGATGATCCTAAAACAATTCTGATTGGTGATTTCTCATTTTTTTCTCGTAATATTATTGGTCAACGCTTAGGAATACAGAAACATTTCATATCAGTCTTTGTTGCCAAAGTTGAAACTCCCTTCTGTGTTTATCGAAAGCAAAATAGCATTAAACTGCAATAAAGCTTGTCTATCTATCTTGTCTAGTAAATTCTGATCAACCAACTCTGTAAAGTACTAAGTGGTTAATTGCTCTCCTCAATGTCTCGTTAATTATGTAATCTTGTACTGTAAAACGTTTATTTATTTTGTGCTCGGTTATCAAGGTACTTAACTAATTTGGCTACTTAATTAAAGTGTATAAGGCGAAGTAGACACTAGACACTCAAATTTTTTGAATAAAAGTTGGTTAACAGACAATTTCCAGTTAATGTTGGGGAGATTCCATTGAGATTCCATTTCCCATCAGGAAAATCCATGGCTGTGATTGGCTGATGTGTATTTTAGTGTGCTATTTTCGTAACTGTCCCAAGGACGTTTCTATGATGTATAAATAAACGAGAGTTGTATGCTTGATTGTATTGTGATTGCTGGGTGTTTGTAGAATATACTTTCTATGCTTACAAAGCCTTCTACCTTCAGCTTGGGATTCAAGGTAGCCTATCTGGACGGTGGTAATTGTCTCGTTCGCGTTTATCGACTAAGGTGAACTCGTAATAGCTTCAAGCGTACCTAGTGACAAACTCTACAATTAATTCTCATTGATTATAACCGGTAAACGGTTGAGATATGTACACTATGTGAATGACTGTCGTAGTACTACGTTTGATGTTATAAAAATCAGAATTTCAGGTGTTTTGAATTAAAAAAGAAATTTAAATCATGAATGAATCACTTTTAGACCAAGAATAAAAAACCGGGAATCACTGGATAGCCTTTTCGTTCTGAATTTATTATCAATCAGAATGCACGACTCCCACCACTCACAGGGATCGAACCCAGGACCTTCGATATAAACGCCTAACCACTGTACCGCTGAGCCATCATCCAACAGTGTTAATATCTAACTAGATTTTTTTACAAAAGAAAATTGATTATGATGTATGAATAGATCAGTTATTTGTTTTTATTTTTAGAAAAGTATATTAAATTATCAATAATAAAACATTGAAAATTGTACAAAATAATTGTTTACATCCTTAAAGTTTGAGTATTTATTTATTTCTACACTACTGAAAGGTTATTTTCATAATTTGATAATTGAAGCAATCCATTGATTGGCAAATGTAAGATTGCTATAAATTCCTGGAGTTCCTGATGCTTAAAACAAAAAGAATAAATCAATATTAAAATTCTAATGACATCATTCAGTTACGTAATAATTATAATTGAAGAGTATTATTATATTTCAGACGATGTTGTGGACGATAATATACTGCTAAACGATTTATTTCGCAAGACAGATTCGTCATTTTGAATTTTACGAGTTGCACGCACATTATTGAATCTCTAGCTATGATATTCATAGTTTGAGTAGCCTTCGTATTGCGTGTATGAATACAGGTTGAGCCAATATGGGTTATCCTAGATTTCGGACAAGTTAATTTACCATCTCTGTCTGAGTCACATTATTCACTTGTCAGTTGACCTTGTCAGTGATTGGCTTATTACATTGGCTGTTTTTTATTTAAGTGCGCGTGTATGCATTGCTCACCTCGATTATTACATGTCTAGCCTACGATTGACTGACTATGGATACTTAGTCACGCTTACTACATGTCTAGCCCACTATAGACATTCCTTCATCCGTTTTTTATTTTTTCGTCGTATTTTTTATACCAACTCAGCCTGGAGCCCCTCCGGGGTTACTACCGGTCCCAAACCCGGATAAAGGAGCACATTAGGGTAGGGGTTTAGTGTCCTCATCTCATAAAAAACGCTAACCAGAAAAATCATTTCAAATTATTTTCTATACCGAAACAAAGATTGAAGTTGTAGTAGCCAGGAGAATTAAAGTGTGGATTTATTTATATAGTATTTCAACTCGTTTTTTTTTAAAATATGAGGTCTACAAGTACACAAATCATGTTTATTTATACATGATAGAAACGTGTTTAGGAGAGCCACAAAAACAGCGTACTGAAATAATCAATCAACCAAAGACAGTCAAGGATATCTCGGGTGGGAAACGTAATCTGAAGGTCAACTGATTGGCCCATGTGCGAAAGCATGAAATCCAAAATAAGAACCTTAATCAAGTGGTTTCTGGGGATCTAACGACCACAACAGAGAGTAAGATATGGATGGGGTTAGCGACCCTATCCTGTTGTTAGCCGCCAACTTACTAAAAATCTCTATCTAGAAGCGGTCGGCCTAGGCTCCGTTTGCGTTAGTAGGCTTAAGTAAGTAATATTATTCAGATGTAATTTTAAGATCCTATCTGCGTTTATATACTTAACAGTGGGCCGCACTCTTTGTATAAAAATTCTGTGATTGATACGGCTAGCCATATGCCTAAACCAAAGTAAATATCTTGGAACGTATTGGTCAGAAGTTGAATGTTTTGATTACTTACTCAATTATAACCATACAGACTGTCTATATTGATGATATGACGCTATACAAACAAGTATTGCAAGATTACTCGGTTTATTTCTTCAAAGATTATCTATTGTCTGTTTATAAATAAACTGAACTCAAGTAATATGAAAATATTGATTATTTTTATTCCATAGATGTCAGGAAATCAATCTTCCCCCTTGCACATACTCATAATGAAGTAAAACATTTTACAATCTCTATTATTCAGTGCTTAGATAAAATATGAATATTGGGAATAGTTGAAATGTGACTAGTATTGGGATCCATGGTGCATATTTCGACCTTCTAAATGCATGTTAGCTGAATATACTTCCATTCTAGCTTTACCATTTAAAATAAAATGCACTGGGTTCGAGTCCAGAAGTGAAAATCACTCCTAGTGTATGTCCAGCTGAGGAATGAGGTTATATGTCACTGATACTGTGGTATGCGCTACCTATATGGGCAAATGTAATTATAACGGGAATTGGTAGTTGATATACTAATCAAGTCGGAAGTGACCTAGTCAGAAAGCCATTGGATGACCATATATATATATATATATATATATATATATATATATATATATATATATATATATATATATATGCGTCAATGTGTTCAGATTTTTTGATCTTCAAACGAACCTTCTCTATTGCTCATTGCCTTCTTATTCAAGCAGCTATTGGAAGCGTTAGAACATATCACATTCAGATTTCAGCATTACGCATCATAACAGTAACAGAATTCTTATTGGTATAATAGGGCAATAAGAAGAGATAAAGAAAACCAGAGAGTAGCCACAGTAAAACTTGAGTGAATGTACGGAGGAGATTATAACAGACAAACTGAAGAAGGATAGGCGAATAGTTCATTTAATGTATTGTTTTCACATATTATTGATGTAGGATGTAATTTTTCACAACACAGTTCCCTCTTTGTCTTGCAGTGGAGTTGGACTCACACTCAGTACCAAACTGAAGTCGGTCGCCTTACACACTGCCTTCGTAAAACATGGAAACGATGCACTAAGTCGTCCCTTGCAATCTCCGCTGTTCATTTATTCTTTCTGGTATTCAGATTTTCTCTACCCTATCCTCATTGCCCTCTTGTGTTATTAAGAATTCTATAACCTATTCTCGTTACATACTACTTACGTTTGTCTGTGTAAGTAGTGCATATCACAGTACTACTAGAAAACTATTATCGAATATCACGAATTGGCTGACACAAATGCCATTCCATTCCTACTTTGTATTTGAACAAAAAAAATATTCCTTGTGAGACCTGATCGTGGTTGAAGCGATAGTTCTATCCTTAACAAAGTTGTGGATACTAGCTTTTGAGAAGTTTTATAGTAAGATAAAACAACTGTGAAGTGTATTCAGACAATTGGTTATTAAATAAGTATCCTGTACAGTTCTTCTTAATATACTCAAATAAAATAATACGTCAATACTCAAAGATTAGTTTCATTTTGATTGGAAGATAGGTATCATTTTAGTGTTATGGAAACTACTGAGTTTTACTGAAATCGTGAATTGGTCAATTTTAGACCACTATTGAAAACCTGAAAACACTGTACGGCCATTTGATCCTGGTATTAGACTTGTCGGCAGTGCACGTCCACAACCTCCGCTCGTGACAATCAAACCAAGGACTTCCAGTCTCACGCACAAATGCTTGGCCTCCTGACCACTGAGCTGGTACCCAAAGGCATTAAAGTTTGAATTCCTCACTTTTACACTGCTAATGAGTCTCACAATACGACAAAATGACAGTTCTGCATTTCCAGCTTTCATATAGTGATTTCAAACACAGATTACTAACCGTTATACTTACCAGCACATGACTTTCCAAATGATACAATTCCTATTTGATACCATGTAGAATCGGAATTATTATGTAATTGACACATTAATGGACTACCACTATCACCTTGACATGAATCTTTACCACCGGTAATATATCCAGCACAAATCATTGTTTCAGTTAATTTACCTTGATATACTTCAGTTTGATTACAAATAGTGAAATTAAGCAATGGAATATTTAAATGACGTAATTCATTTGATATTGGTGCGTCTGTGAATGTGCAAATTAAAAATTAAAAAAAGAAGGTTTAGTCATTCATTGATGAAAGTAGTGTAGCTAAACAAATTGATCAAATTTATGACTTGAATGGCCATTTAAATCTTCAGTGAGCATATTTCCTAGCCTAGAACAACAGATTTGAGACGAAAACGTCTTTAATTTTGTCAGCGAATCTTAAAAGAGACTATTTGGTGGCTGTGTTTAGTTTGAAGTACGGCTCATAACTCTATAGTGACCCGTGATTCGACTCTTATTTGCAAGAATAGTCGAGAATGCGATGAAATAAATCTTCCCTCTTTTGTGTGGCGGCGGTAATAAGAGGTCAAATGCGGATTCGGTTGGATCAGTTCATTTCAGATAATCGTTCATGTAGACAGACATGAGAATACGAAGCGTAAAGGCAAAATGAAGTGAAGTGGAGATGGTGAGCGAGCCAACTTCATGAGACTACGGATCTATAGTCAGGTCATAGTAGGCTAGACATGCAGTAAGTGAAGTGAGCAATGCCCATATGAACACTCAAATAAAAACAGTTCATGTTATAAGCCAATCACTGACAAGGTCAAAAGACCGATGAATGATGAATTTTAGGCAAGATCAATTAGATTGTCTGAAAACCAGGACAAACCCAATAGTCTCCGTTATAATAGCGACAGGAAAAAAATAGGAGAATCCTTTCGAATATACATACAATGGATAAGATTATGGGTCACAATCCCAGTAGCTTCTCATTGATCTTAAAAATTTCTAGTATCATACATTCACTTACACTTAAATGAGTTTCAGTTATGTAGAATATTTATGAGTTAATTTGTTTATAGATAAGTGATGTGTAGCCCTGAAAGCAAAATATGATCGACCCTTGAATATGGACAAACAGTCATTCGGTTAATTGACTATTTCATTTCCGATTATTGATTTCTACTTGGGATTTACTGAGAGTGACTGCTTGTTATTGTATGGGATCAAGTATTGTCTATCGCTTATTCTAGTTCTCAAGTTTTCGATCTTAAACTGTGTATCTTGTTTTAATGTGATCTAGTCTCTGTATGGTGTACCATTCAAGTATATAATCCAATGGTAGCATACACGCGAACATTCAGATCGGTCTCATTTTGATCGCATTATCGCAGTAAACCATGGGAGAAAGATATTTCGAATACTGTCATAATAAAATTAAGTACTTTATTATGTTTGAAAAACACAATTATTCTCTTTGCTTACTGACCATGTATAATGAGTTCATAATTAGCGTCACTATTTAAATGACCATACATTTCACTTAGATGTGTTACTACTGTATAGCAACTCACATTCATCTGGGTGTGTGTTACACTTAATTTGATTAGGCCTTTTTAATTAACTTATTTAACAGACCGAGTCATTCGTATAGCAGAAACTTATCTGTGCCGTGATGCTTTTATTATCAGTCAGTCAGATGCAACGTAGAACTTCGTACGTAAGTACATCAGCCCATGTTGCCATACCATATCAGCACAGAGATGAATTAGAGGTAGTAAAGGTATTAGAAGTAATCGGAGAGGTTAGGATTAGAAGATATTATTCAAGAAGTAAGTATATTCGAGGGAAACAATTTAGAAACTATATTAGTTAGACTTATTCCCCCTGTGATTATCACAAGAGGACTTTTGTCCTTTCTTATAAATTGGGACAATCAGTGATTGAGACCACTAGGATGGGATTACGTCCAGTTCCCAGATTCTACCTATGATTTCAGTCAGCCTAGCTGCTAAAACTGGACCACCATCCTTGAATATCACAGGGGTAAGTCTATCAGGACCTGCAGCTCGTCCTCGTTTCAGATTTCCTAACGCTTTATCAACTTCATAAAGACTAGGGGGATTTACGTCGATTTGCCATTCAGGATGACTGGAGATCGTGGGTAACCGAAGAGTGGCTCGAGGCCAGTTGAAATGGTCCCTAAAGTGTTCTGCCCATCGGTTCAATCTCCTGGATTGGGAATGGATAATAAGACCATCCTTTTCCGAAATTTTTTCACTTACATTTGGGTTCTTAATACCAGTTTCCTTGATGAGTCTAAATAATTGTCTACTGTTGCCTATCGCTGCTGCTAATTTTTCCATCTCTCTCGCTTTCTCCACCCATCACTGTTCTCGATCATTGCGTAGGCTTTTTATCAGCCTACGTCTAAGCTGACTCCGCTCCTCATCGCCCTCAGAACCATGCGGGATGAGTTTTTGAGCATCCATCAGTTCGGTAGATGCTACTGAGATCCACGGCTTTTATTAATGTAGCGTTTGTATGATCAGGTATGATTGAGCATTGCTTATCGCCTACATACATAATCATTCCATTCGCTTTAATATTGGCCGCTTAAATAATTCAACGATTCATTCATTTTCCTACTGAAATGCTCGTCAGTTGATATACTCGGTGATCGGAATGAAAGAGCGAAGACTCAGTGACACGATAGGCTATTCTAATCCATTTGTTCCACCCTTGGCTAACTAGATCAAGAAGTTTTAAGAAGGCGTAGAGAATGTATTCTAAAAACATCCAGAAACTATAAGGTTGCTAAGCACACAAATCAAGTTGATTTATACAATGACAGCATATGCCTCTGGGAGAGCCACAAAATAGTGTACTAAAATAATACATCAACCAATGACAGTTAAGGATTTTCCGATTGGGAAATGTAAGCTGAAGGTCAACTAAGCGACTTATGTGCAAAAACATGAAAAAAATCCAAGATTAGGACCCTTCCCAAGTGTATTTATATGTACACTTTAATCCTATTCCGTCACTCTCTCGCCCACCCGCTTGTTCTTCGGCACTCATTTCAATTTCGTATCGTATGCTTGTGGTTTGGTGATCTGTGATTGGTGCGATAAGAAATCTATCTAATCAACGCTTCATATTCGTCTTCTGATTTATGTACTATTCAGTGTTATCCAGTAACGCTTATCAGGACCAGAAGTATACGAAGTATGGGAATATATCGAATACTGACCGTCACAGAGCTGGTGAGCCTACATCTACCGCAGGATTGATGAACCCGACTGCGAACATAACATAGTTCACATAAATTGGTAAGCATTGACTTCAAGTATAACTCAGCCACCTCCACTACAATTGAAACTACCGTAGTCCAACGCATTAAGTATATTGTGAAAATATGAAGTTTGCAGTACATGAAAATATCATTTGAGATTAATTTTATTGATTATAAGTTAGAAAAATAAAAACTATTAATCACTAATTTCATTTTACCTTCTGAACTACCCCATCCAGCAACATAACAATCATTCAAATCATTGATATTTGTCATTGTTGAATTCAACAAACATATTGGTCTTCGTTTTGTAGTGAATTGTATTGGTAAAATAATTTTGATTAATGCATAATCATAATCGTATAAATTATGTAAACGATAATTTGGATGAATTAATATACTACTTATATTCATTTGTATTTCATCTGTATCAATCCAATCTAAATATGAATCACCAATATGAACTGTCCAATTGTTAAGATTTATATTTCTATTATAGAAATAATAATTAACAAAGTTCATTGGTTCTAATATAGATTGAACAAAGTGGGGATACTTTTTGTTTAAATGAATACTGACTACCTGTTATGAATACACGTATATCGTGGGACACCCGAGTGAGTAACGCTGTTATTATTAGGAAACGGGTGCTAGGTAAGAATGGCAGATCAGTCAATAGATGAAATAATGAAACTTCATCAGTTGAGGTGGTTGGAACATGTTTTGGGTGTATGCCTAACCACCGACTGCCTCGAAGAGCTTTGTTTTGTAGTGTAGGAGTAGTAGGTTGGAAGAAAGTTAGGGGCGGTCAGACCAAAACATGGCAGAAATCCATGAAGTCATTGACGAGTAGACTGAGTCATGTCGGTAATTGTTGACTACCTGGTTGGGGTCCGCGAGATGATGATAATCGATGGTTAGAGACCTTGAATGACATGGCTCAAAATCGTTCGCAATGGCGCTGGTGCATTTATTCTTTGTGTTCTCTCAAATCCTAATCTTCTGGATTCTTCAACACGTCTAGTTTTGACTTTCTAAACTTATCTCACTGAATCATACTTCTTGAATAATATCTTCTAATCCTAATCTCTCCGATTACTTCTAACACCTTTACTACCTCTTCTACTATTTGATTTGAATTGACAATTACATCTCTGTGGTGACAAGGTGTGGCAACATGAACTGATGTACTTATGTACAAAGTTCTACGTTGCATCTGACTGACTGACTGACTGACTGACTGTTACGAATACACGTAAACACGTCATTGGATATGCTGGAATTATTACGAGTTCACCTTAGTCAGTAAACGAGAGCGAGACAATGATCCAGTGTGACACGATAGGCTACTCTAAACCGAGCTTTCCAAACTCCCATTGAATAGAAGAAGAAGACTTGATATGAAGTAGAACATGTACTCTACAAGCATCCAGAAAGTACGAGGTCCGAGTTTGGTTCATAAAACATTACAGATAATGCGTATTTATACAGTTAAGTCGAATAGGAACCGACATTGAAGTATGTGATATTGACAGTTAGGACGACCAATAGGAAACAACATTGAACTCTGTGACATTGACAGTTAGGACGACCATAATATTGACCAATAGGAATTAACCAATATGAATTGACCAATAGAACTAGACTTACAAATAATTCTCTTAGGGATATTAGACGAATATCCTAACACTAGCAGTCAAACATCATGAACTGTCTTTGCTTACATTAATTCATGCACATGAACTATTTATGGACATAATATGTATAACTAGAAAGATGTTAAGATTTTGGATAGCGAGAAGAAAACGAACAAGATCAAACATATTTTGAAAGATTATGACTCAAGTTAACATTGCTAATCAGAGATAACAATCAGTCAGGATCAGAAGCACAAGTTTTCTTATGTCAAATATGAGAAAATTCATGAACATCACTTTCACATGATGGCCTTCCTTTACTGATAATGTTGTGAAGCTGTGTTAGTGGGACATAGATGGAATCAAAGCATGACTATGTTGCTGCGCGCTGATTGGCTAATTTCCTATCCAATCAGCGCCTGATCGATTCTTGGAGAACAGGGTAGAAAATTCTCGTATTGTTAGCTGCACTCTGATTGGCTAAATCTAATCCAGTCGATCACGTGAATTTCTATCCAGCAGCTTCTCATGTTAATGCTATAAATAAACTAACGTTGTATCTATTTTTGCCTACGCCTTCGCCATCACCTTTGTCTTCTTATTTCCATTTAACCTTGCCATTTGGAATATAATCTTTTCCTGTTCAACCGTGTTTTTGATTCTAAGGGACTTGTCCAGTGTATTGTGGTCAGAGTATACTAAGCAATAGGATTTAGCTGGGAATTATATAAGCAAATCGCTACGACACTGTAAAACCAATGAAAGCCGCACAATTAAACTATTCGTTTCAGATAATGAAACTTCACTGAAAACGGACATTTGTAAGTTCTTTATCTATTGCTACTAAGCATAGTATATGATTTTAAAATAAATACTGTCTGATATTTTGTTTTAATTACAAATGTATTATGTTCAATGATAAAATGATCATTCCGATATTAAAATATCGATTTTACATTCAAAAATACTAAACTTGACTATAGAAAGCAACATTTAAATTCAGTGTTTATATGGCATACAGATAGACAGATAGATTTGAATTGTGTCTGTATGTGTGTGTGTGGATAAATCTTACTTGAAAATTTGGCTTTTAATCTGTAATTAGAGTAAAAGGTAGTTTATAGATTGCTGAAATATCAGGCAGTAAAATTGATGAGCACAGTTGGTCTGATGCAGATGTGAAGTCGTGGATTGGCAATGCAAGGACAGCATTTCTGCAATTGAAAAACGTCTGGAACTCCAAACAACTATCAACCAATACCAAAATCACAATTTTCAATACAGAAGTCAAGACAGATCTACTGTATGGAGCGGAAACTTGAAGAACCATGAAAGCCATCATCCAGAAGATTCAGGTTTTCAGTTATGACCGTCTACGTAAAATACTTTGGACTAACTGACAGTACACTATCATAAACAACCTACTATAGGAGAGAAAAAACCAGATTCCTACTGAGGCGGAAATCAGAAAGAAGCTCTGGAGTTGGTGGATAGGAAAGCACCCAAATGCGTCATAAAACAACCCCTTTACCTAGAACCTTCAAGGCCAACGGAAAAGATCAAGGCCAAGAAACAAATTACGTCGAGAAATGGTGACAGGCATGAGAAGAATGTACAACAGTTGGAGGGAACTGGAAAGGAACGCCAAGGGCAGAGTAGACTTGAGAATGGTGGTCGGCGGCATGTTTTATTGGGGGTAACAGACGTAAGTAAGTAAGTAGGTTAGTCGAATATCGGTATGTAGTGAAATCGAGGATTCTCCTTCTTCATATTCTATTCAGAACTCATCAGTTGGATGTAATTTCGTCAAAGACTGATATCGGGCAGTAAAATTGATGCGCATGGTTAGTCTGATGCGTATGTGAAGGCGTGGATTGGCAATGCAAGGACAGCATTTATGCAATTGAAAAACTCAAAACAACTATCGATCAACACCAAAATCAAAATTTTCAATACAAATGTCAAGACAGTTGTACTGTATGGGGCGGGAACTTGGAAAACTACCAAAACCGACATCAAGAAGACTGAAGTGTTCATTAACAGCTGTCTACGTAAAATACTTTGGATTCGCTGGCAATACACTTTTTGCAACAACCTACTGTGAGAGAGAACAGACCAGATTCCAGATGAAGAAGAAATCAAGAAGAAGCCCTGAAGTTGGTGGATGGAAAACACATTGTGGAAAGCACCCAAATGCTTCACGAGACAACCCCTCACCTAGAACCTTCAAGGCCAACGGAAAAGATGAAGGCCAAGAAATAAATTAAACCGAGAAATGGTGACAGACATGAGAAGAATGTACAACATTTGGATGGAGCTGGAAAGGAAGGCCGAGTGCAGAGTAGGTTTGAGAATACTCTTCGGTGGCCTATGCATTATTGGGGGTAACAGGTGCATGTAAGTAAGTAAGTAGGTTAATCGAATATCGGTTAGTAGTGAAATCGAGGATTCTCCTTCTTCATATTTTATTCGGAACTTGTCATTAGCATGTAATAACATCTAAAACTGCAACCTCGTTTCATTTATTAACTTCAATAACTTTACTTACGCCGGTTACCCCCAACGAAACATAGGCCGCCCACCAGTTTTCTCTAACCAACTCTGTCCTGGGCTTCCTTCTCCAGTTCTGTCCAATGTTTGTTCATTCCGCTTATATCTTTCTCTATTTCTCGGCGTAATAACTTCAATAACTAAGAAATTTAAACTCTTATTACAACTAATTTATCACAATAAACAAACAGTACTACTTACTTTGGAAAACAATGAGCTGCAGTTAATAACCATTGACTGCTAATTAAACTAGCACCACATCGAAATTGTTTATTTTCTCTTATAGAAGCCATCCATGGCCATTGACCTGGTTTAGACACTGCTCCACCAATAATTCTACTATTCATCTTATTATTGTCATCGTTATTCAATTGAAGCGCTAATCCACATGTATAAAAACAATTCGGTTTCAATGATTCTTTCTGAATAAATTCATAATGAAGCAAGAAACCGCGTCCATGATTTGCATCATCTGTACCGAAAAGGATGTAAACTTGAGAACTATTAATTTCAATTGGATTAGATGGTTTTAATTGACCACAAAATGTATACACATTGGTATAATATTCATCTGTAATTAATAAGTAGTCAAACATACAACTAATACAGAAAAAAAGAAAGAACGAGGAAATTTTGTATTCAATAAAGATTGATTATTGAACATGATATGTACATTTAAACAAATTGAATATTGAAAAGGGATGTGTACATTTAAACAAAATAAGTTCTAATGACATATAAAATCATTCATTCAGTAATAAATATATGTCCTACTCATTAATGTATACATAGGTTTCAAGATGAATTCTTAGTACAAAGTTATGATGGGTTTGTAGTGTGTCGATTTACTGCGTGTTCTTAAGCTCGGTGATTAGCTCGTCCAGACAATCGTTACTAACTAGCGTCTGACGGTTTATAAATCAGAAGGTGAACTCGAAGTGTTGAATGCGTTTATTTTTGACACACCAGAAAGCGAATCGGAGAAGAAGTGAATAGAACGAAAGGAGCGACGTGAATTGGAGAAGGCTAATGAGCCAATTCCCAGAGATAGAGCATGACTAAGAATATATAGTCAGACAAAAATGTAAGACAGACATGCGACAAGCCAAATATGCACACATGAATAAAAGCGACGAATAGTTGACAAGATCAAACGACAAGTGGGACATGTCATGTGAGCTCATACAAACCAGACAATAATAAGAACGAATAGTACATATAAATTGTTGCAATACAAATGGCTTGGTTAAATAAATTAATCAAAAGGGCTGGAATATATGTGGAGGCACTACAAGTCGTAGAATTTAAATACGTCAGTAGTTAAGAACTGGATGACCATTTCGTCCTGGTATGGGACTCATCAGTGGCAGTACGCATCTATGACTCTTGCTACTTGCAGGATTCGTATCCAGGGTGTTCGATTTTGCATGCGGACGCCTAACTTCTGGATCATTGAGCCGGTATCCAACGATATTAATGTCTAACTCTGATCAATCTAGGGATTTTTCGCCATCTCACCCCATTTGTCTTCGGTAGTTCTTGCTTACATGAGATAGGGTTGAACTTTGCTGATCACAAATATTGATTGATGATTTCAGTGTGTAAGAACACTGATCTCCATAGCTTTATTTGAAAGAATAAAACGACTAACCAGAAAGTTTTATTTAAATTCTGCTCTGAGAGTTATGATGCTTCATGATGAAATCCGAGATTCTTCGGAAGTCACGAGGTAGGAGCCCTTTCTGACAAAAAGCGTAACAATTAATATATACTCATGTTGTAGTGAAGGAGAACACAAGTGAGGGCAACCGAATTGTATTTAACGAAAATTACAGAGTTACTCAGTAAAATTGGAAAACCATATCGTAAATCGTTAATTTGCAAAATATCAATCCATTGTCTGACATTTCACTTATTCATGCGTTTCATACAAATTCCATTGTGTTCCCACTCTTCCTTTCTTGATCTTCCCCCATCTTCTGCTGCCAGACATTACGTTTTCACTTGCGTCATATACTACTTATAAGTAGCGCGCACCACAATATGTTCTCTGCAGCAGTAGCTCTCAAAATGCTCGAAGGAAATGCATAACCCTTAGAAACAACAGATCATACACCGAGCAAATCACACTTGATTGAGAAGTTTTGAAGACTGTGGAAATCTTTATATAACTGGGCAGCATCTTTTATAAACGAGGTGGATTTGATGCAGGAAAGGATTTGTAAAGCAAGAGTAGCATTTCTATCAATGAAGAAATATGGAATTTAAAACAACTCTCAACCAACACCAAAGTTAGAATTTTCAAAACAAATGTTTAGATAGTTTTATTGAATGGAGCGGAAATTTAGAGAACTAAAAAACCCCTTTATCCATAAGATAAGTGTTTGTTAACAGTTGTCTACGCGAGATTGTTCGAATTCGTTAGCCGTACACTATCAGCGATAGCCTTCTGTGGAAGAGAACTAATCAGACTCCACCGAAGGAGGAAATCAGCTAAAATCACTGGAGGTGGATAGGACACATATTTTGGAAGTCACCTAACTGCGTCACAAAACAAGCCGTAACACTAAATCCCTAAATCCAAAGGAAAACCAATAAACTAAACAGCCGAAGTAAACAGCCGAGAAGTAGAAGCGGACATGTAAGAATGAATAACAATCGGGTAAAACTGGAAAAAATGGTCCAGGACAGAGTAGGTCGGAGAATGGTGGTCGGTGGCCTACGCCCTACATTAGGTCTAACAGGGTTAAGTAATTAAGCTTATATATTCAAAATTTAGTTAAATTTCATTTTTGCAAGTAATGTGAAATTCAAATCTGTGGTATACTAGTTGGAAACAGACTACACAAATCAATCAATAACTCAACATTTTTTAAAAAATTTCTACTTCCTAGATTTTTCTAAAATTATTATTTATATAAATTCACTGATGAGTCCCATACCAGGACGAAACGGCCGTCCAGTGCTTCGAGGTTTGTAATGGTGGTCTAACAATGATTGATTGATGATTTCAAATGTGTAAAAACACAAACCTCCAAAACTGTGCCCCGAAAATTCACTTTTGTTAAGCTATACTACTTATTTAATTTGACTAGTAATCCCTCGAATGCTTACTAAATAGAGTCTTATTCACTGAAATTTGAAAAAAGGCGTGGAACATTAAGGTAAAATATCTTTGAAAAAGGCATTTCAAGAGGTCGACACCATTGAATTCATCAGATATTTGGGATTTTTCGTTTGTCACATATGTTCGAAGAAGGATAGTAGAATTTTTATCGATCATTACTCAGTTATTTTTAATGATCGGTCGAATATAACGAATATTCAGTCAGTCAGTCAGTCAGATGCAACTTAGAACTTCGTACGTAAGTACATCAGTTCATGTTGCCATACCACACCAGCACAGAGATATAATTGCCGATTCAAATCCAATAGTAGTAGAGGTTGTAAAGGTATTAAATGTAGTCGAAGAGGTTAGGATTAGAAGATATTATTCAAGAAGTATAATTCAGTGAGAAAGTTTAGAAAGTCAAAACTAGAGTTGTTGAAGAACCCAGAAGGAAAGGATTTGAGAGAACACAAAGAATAAATGCACCGGCACCATTGCGAACGATTTTGAGCCATGTCATTCAAGGTCTCTAACCATCGATTGCTTACATCTCGCGGACCCCAACCAGGTAGTCGACAACTACTGACATGGCTAAGTCCACTCGTCATTGACTTTATGGATTTCTGCCATGTTTTGTTTTGGCCGCCCCTAACTTTCTTCCAACCTACTACTCCTACACTACAAAACAAAGCTCTTCGAGGCAGTCGGTGGTTAGGCGTACGCAACACATGTTCCAACCACCTCAACTGATGAAGTGAATAACGAATATTAGTCATATATATGTATGTCTACTTTGTATTTCTTCATCCATGTTTACTTGAGAGGAGTTTTCGATGTGCACTATTCATTGTATTTTGAATTCAATAAGTGTAGATCATTTTCACACATTAATATATTCGAGATTACTTTCTAATTTACGCTAGAGATTTTGAATGACATGCTTCAAATTCGTGTACAATGGCACAGGTGTGCATCTACTCTTTGTGTTCTCTCAAATTCTTATCTTCTGAACTGCTCATCACTTTCATCTTTCTCTTTTTAAATTTTATTATACTTCTTGAATAACTTCCTTGAAGCCTTAATCTTTCCGATTACTGCTGTTGGGGATGTTAGATCCCCAGAACTCGCTTAATAAATATCTTTATTTTGGATTTATTTCATGGACCGATCCGTTGATCTTTAGATCACATTTCCCACCAGAAAAATCATTGACTGTGATTGGTTACTGTGTCATTTTAGTGTGCTATTTTTGTGACTGTCACAAGAACGTCTCTATAGAGTATAAATAAACGCAATTTGAGTGCTTGGATTCATTTTGTGCTGGTTTGGTGTTTGTAGGATACAATTTCTACACTATATCAAGCCTTCTCACTGACAAAATTTGGTCAAGTGATCACAGTAGCCTACCTGGATGCCGGTTCATTGTTTTGTTCTAGTTATTCGACTAAGTTGAACTCGTAATAGTTTAAGCATACCTAGAGACGAGCGTATACTGCTACTACTATGGGATTTGTATTGGCGATCCCATGTCTCAGTGCTAATGTCGTATGGCAACTTCAAGTAATGTACGTAAGTACGAAGTTCTACGTTGTCGCTGACACTGAGGTTCGGCTTGTTATGTAGATACAAGTAACATGGATATTATAAGGACAAAGACTAAGGTTGTATTCTGTGTGAAGATTATTATTGATCAAAAAATCACTAATTTCAATGAAAATGTTATGGATAACATGCTTAAAATGAAAGGACCATATTTCATATTGTTATGATGTGGAATGTGACCATTCGAAATCCTACGAATTGACCGAATTCAGATATTCGATTACCACCCAAAATACTTCCTCGCAAATCTCCAGTTTATCAGAACACAAAACCGTTAGATGAATGTTGTTTATGAAGTCCGAGTACGGAAGAAGCAGAAGGATAAAAATCATATTTTACCGACAATTCATACTTATATAGTTAGGATGACCTTGAATGCGAACCAATAGGAAACAAGATTTAAAAGTATGTGAACTTGATAGTTTAGGATGACCTTAAATATTGACCAATATGAATTGAGAAATAGAATTAGTCTTACAAAATAATTTCTTTAGGATATTTGGTGAATATCCTAACACATAAAATAATTTAATAAGATTGTGACACTAGGAATAGCATGAGAGACTAGAATTATGCCACACAAAATAACATTGAAAGTAAATTGGAACAAAATATGCATGTAGATCTATATTGAGGCTGAGATTATCTAGATGTTTGCGTTTTTAAACATAAACTACTTGCAAGTAGTCAAACTTTTATAAGTAAATATATAAACTGTCTATGATAATGAGATAGACACGAAATTCACAGATCTGGGAAGATAATCGTTATCACATGATGTAACCGAAATTATTCTTTGAATTCAACTCCTTAAAACATCAGAATATCTTTCTATTCATTATGTAAAGCTAAAACTATTAGAACAGAAGAAAGATATAATATTGAGATGGTGGAAAAAATTTGTAGCTTAGGTGGAGCATTCGAAATTCTAATGCTTCACTTTTATCTGAAGTTTGTGCTGCTGATGATGTTTTTCAGAAGAACAATGAAAGCTCCACAACCAAAACAACCAGCTCAGAGAACGAAACACCACCACAAAGATATCTTATATTTGTTCTTTGCTTGGTCATCAACTACACTAACATTTTTCGATAGACAGTTATAAAAACCACCATTTTCACATCGGAATTGTGAATCAGTCATCGCAATACCACAATTAAAAACCGGGTAGCACTGAATGACCGTTTCGTTTTAGAATAGGATTCGTCAATAGTGCGCATCCACGAACCCGCTCACAAGAATCGAACTCAAAGCCTACGGTCTTGCGCGCGAACGATTAAGACCATCCGAAGATGTTAGTGTCTGAATTTGACAAATTTTACGATTCCGTGCAATCTCACCCATCATGAAATGTGCTCACTAGTGACCAGCTCCATGAGAAAAATCTCAGAATTCTAGCGAAAAGCAATGAGATGATCTATGGATACGCACTGTTGATGAATCCCTGCTCGGGACGAAAATTCTATCGATTGCTTCCAGGTTTCTAATGTTTTTCTCATAATTATTGATTTACGATTCCAATATATTAACATTATTAGTATGTTGGGAATGTTAGGTCCACAGAACTCGCTTGATAAATGTATTTTGGATTTTATTCATGGGCTGATTAGTTGACCTTGAGATTACATTTCCCACCAGGAAAAGCCGTGGCTGTGATTGTTTACTGTGTCATTTTTGTGTGCTATTTTGTGACTCCCCCAAAAACGTCTCTGTGATGTATAAATAAACGCTATTTGTGTGCTTGGATTGATTGTGCGCTGGTTGGGTGTTTGTAGAATACACTTTCTACTCTATATCAAGACTTCTCGTTAATACCTTTGGGTTAACGAATCAGAGTAGCCTACCTGGACACTGGCTCATTGTCTCGTTCTCGTTTATCGACTGAGGTGAACCCGTAATAGTTTCAAGCCTACTTAGTGATGAGTGTAACATGGTATAAATTAGTTCCACTAAAAATATTCCCTTTCCTTTTAGTTATTGATCGAATCCTTAGAATTTTACTGATGAATATTTGTTAAGATCATTTAGAAACTCCTCCTGGAGCATTTCTGGGGCTACTGCCGCTCTCAAGCCAGGATGAAGGAGGAGGGATTAGCATGGAGTTGGCCACCTCATCCCGTAAAAAACTAACTCACTAAAAAAACAAATCTACGCGGGAAAAAATAATCCAAGACATTTAAGTATGTGATTTAGTGCTTTTATACTTTTGTGCATGAAAACTGATAGAATCGCGTTCGATCGTCGGCGACAAGCTCATAGATGCTCACTTCTTTAAGGAGTCCAATATAAGGAAAAAAACAAAGGTTGGTTAGTAGTAATGTTAACTCTACGGTTATTCTTTACATTACATCAGCTTGTATTTTGAATTTATATATATATATATATATATATATATATATATATATATATATATATATATATATCAGTCAGCTGCAACGTAGAACTTCGTACGCATGTACCTAAGTTCAGCTTGCCATACCACATTAGCACACAGAGATGCAAATGTCAAATCAAATCACATAGTGATAAAGATAATAGAGGTATTCATTGGTAATGAAGAAGACTAGGGGGTTTGAAGGTATTATTCAAGAAGAAGTATAATTCAGTGAGAAAAGTTTAGAAAGACAAAGGTAGAGGTGCTGACGAATCCAAAAGATTAGGATTTCAGAGAGAGCACAACGAATGGATGCACTTGCGCCATTGCGAACGATTTTGAGCCATGTTGTCATTCATGGTCTCTAACCATTGTTGACTTTATATATACGATATGTTCGTCAGTTGATATGCTTAAATGCTATTACGAGTTCGCCATAGTTGATAAACGAGAACAAGACAATAAAACAGTGACATAGCAGGCTATTCTAATCCGTTTATCCCCGGCCCGGTTAACTATATCATGAAGTCTTGATAAGGCGTAGAAAGCAACCAGAAATACGAGGTTGACAAGCACACAAATTGAGTTTATTTATACAATGATAGCAACATTCTTGGGAGAGCCATAAAAATAGCCAACTGATGACAGTCAAGGACTATTCCGACTGGGAACTGTAATCTCCAGGTCAACTAAGCGACCTATGCGCGAAATCATAAAAAATCCAAAATTAGCACCTTTTCCAACTGAATTCTGTGGATCTAACGTCCTCAACCATAAACATCACTATAAAAAAACACAATTTACTTACCTATTTGTTTCTTCTAAATCAATTTCATCTATTTGAATAAGAATTTTATAATTGAACGGTGCTTGAATTCTGTATTCACAATATAAATTCGAGCTGTAATTTATCAAACCATAGTCAGCATGTGATTTAATATAACCTGATTGATTTGTATGTACTGACGGTTTTGAACAAGCTATCATCATCATCGATGAAAAGGGAAAAAACAGTATTGAACATTGAACAGGAATTTTGAAATTTACTATACAATCATTTATTTTTGTATCCATGAATCGATCAATGTTAGACCACCATTAGAAACCTGGAAGCACTGAAACACGGCCGTTTCGTTCTGGTATGGGACTAATCATCAGTGGCAGTGCTCGTCCACGACTCCTGCACCTCGCAGGGTTCGAACCCAGGACCTTCGGTATTGTGCGCGGACGCCCTAACCGTTAGACCATTAGGCCGGTACCTAACGGTGTTAATGTCTAACTTCGGTCAATTCACGGAGTTGCGCAACCTCATACCCTGTATACATCCGGACAGGTTTGAACTTCACTGGTCACGACGTCTTCCCACTAGAACTCGGAGAAGATTCCTCACCAAGCTAGTCACTAGTGGACACATGTAATTGCATTGCAGGGTTGTTGTGAAGATTGTTAAGTTTTATTTATGATGAGTCCCATACCAGGACGAAACGGCCGTCTTTCAGTGCTTCCAGGTTTCTCTAATGGTGGTCTAACATTGATCGATTCATGGTTACAAAAAATGTGTAACTTAAAAATCTTCACAACAACAACGCAATACAATTATTTATATTGTAACCGAGTTCAAATCACTATATATGACATTGCTAACCAGTTCTGTTTTCTTTCTGTTGCAGGGTGATCAAAAACATAAACGCTTCGGAAGCTGAAGAACACATCCCTCAGGCACTGAACTTACAGGATGACTCATAAGACTTTAGTAAACAAGCGATTGTTTGTTTTTCTGTATTTAACCCGCGTTATTTAAATTTTCAAATAAAAAGTCCTGTGGCAAACACTTCGTATTCTTTGTTGGTATGAAGTGCTTGGCTGACCTTGGGTGTTGTGGGTTTAGATCTTCTACGATCTTCAGTGACTGCTGATAACACATGTTACAATATATTTCGACTATCTCGAAAGAGATTCAAACATTATCACAGTTTATGAATTAAAGTTGCATAGCTAGTTATGAGGAGTTGACCATCATTGACGCCTTGAAAGCATTCAACAAATAGTGTTTCATTTCGATAAAACTCCTGAACATACTGATGTGACAAATACTCCAGCGGTTGAACTTATAGGACTAGATCTAATAACGTCGTTGCTCTACTCACTAACTTGTAGATTAGACTTTTGGATGTCAAAGGCTAAGTCAGTCAGTCAGTCAGATGCAACGTAGAACTTTGTACATAAGTACATCAGTTCATGTCGCCATACCACATCAGCACAGAGAGAGATGCAATTGTCAATTCAAATCCAATAGTAGAAGAGGTAGTTAAGGTATTAGAAGTAATCGGAGAGGTTAGGATTAGAAGATATTATTCAAGAAGTATGATTCAGTGAGATAAGTTTAGAAATTCAAAAGTAGAGGGATTGAAGAATCCAGAAGATTAGGATTTGAGAGAACACAAAGAATAAATGCACCGGCGCCATTGCGAACGATTTTTAGCCATGTCATTCAAGGTCTCTAACCATCGATTATTATCGTCTCGCGGACCCTAACCAGGTAGTCAACAACTACCGACATGGCTAAGTTCACTCGTCAATGACTTCATGGATTTCCGCCATGATTTGGTTTGACCACCCCTAACTTTCTTCCAACCTCTACTCCTACACTACAAAACAAAGCTCGTCGAGGTAGTTAGTCGGTGGTTAGGCATACGCAACACATGTCCCAACCACATCAACTGATGAAGTGTCACTACTGCGTCTATTGATCTGCCATTCTTACCTAGCACCCGTTCACCTAACAACACTATTGCTTACTCAGTTGTCCCATGATACACGAACAATGCACTTTGGTGACATATCTATGACATAAATCCAGTAACCTACGAATATCTTCTACTCTCACTGGCCATGTTTCACAGCCATAAAGTAAGACGGAGCGAACCACTGCACAGTACACTCGTCCTTTAGTCAGCAAACGGATATCTCGCCTACGCCATAAGTGACGCAGGTTGGCAAAAGTATTATCATACAACTCATTTATAATGATATTTGAAGAAAACAGATAGAGTACTGACAGTCTTAATTATGAAGAGTAAAAAGACTTTGGCTGACAGATACTTTTCGAAGTCTGTTGCTTGTAAAACTGCCTATTTTTTTTTACTAAAATTTAAGTTTGGCAGGATGATAATTGTAAATAAGCCTGAATAAATCTAATTATTGAATGAGGGATGGTTTTTTAAGTCACATGATGTGCTAAAGTTGTCCGATAATTCAGGAGAAAGCATGAAATGCAACTCTTTTGGATGCTGGCGAAGTAACCAAGAGGATAGGCACTCACTCGCTCGTGAGACTTTGGTTCGATTCCAACTTGCGGTGTTGATAAGTCTCATACTAGGATGAGACGGTCATCCAGTGTTTCCAGGTTCTGAATGATGGTCTAACGTTGGTTAGTCAATGATTTCAGTGTAATAAGCACAATTTGGTTATTAGCCTAGTCCAAAACAACCTTTCATAATAATCTCACTGACTTCATCATTCTAACAACATTTGTAAGTATCATTTTGAGCTTTCTTAAAAAACAACCGCATTTTAAGCTGATTTGGTCAACATGTAGATAAGTAAATTTTAGGTTAGATAAAACTATCAATCACTGAATAAAATGTTAAAATTTTCTCTATAGAGTTGTGGAAATTGTTGAGTTTCATTGAAATCATGAATCGATCAATGATAGACTTGGAAGTACTGGTGTGGTGTGTGCTACTTATAATACGAACGATATAAGTAGTATAAGAAGGGACGTGAAAGAAGAATTCTCACGGTCAGAAGAGGAAAACGGAAAGCAAATGGAGCAAAAGTAAGAAGTAAATGGAGTACCAACCAACAGGAAGGAAAGGAAGTAACAGCAGGAATGGAAGAAGAAGGATGGAGCGTTGGAAGTCACAACTCAAAGATGGTGTGCAAATAGAGTATTCAATGTAATGTTTTCGTTTTTAGCTGACTCACAGTGTAAATTTGCATAATACAATCTTCCGCGCTTGCATTGATCTTCTCACTGGATGGCTATTTCTTTCTAGTATCGAACTCATCAGAAATGCACATCCATGAGACCTGTCCACTTGTATCTAACCCAGGTCTCGCTAGTGGACGCCGATCTTCTAGACCGACGAGTCTGCATCTAACGATGTTAATATCTAGCCGGAGTCGATTCGCGAGATTGAGCGACCATTATCCATTGACTTCGGTGGTGAGCACTGCTTCACATCCGACACGGCTGAACTCCACTAATCATTGTTGTGCACGAAAACTCAGGTGAGGACATCAACATATAGATTTAAGCGAATCTTACAGAGTTGTTAAGCATATGTACAAAACCTTCCCGTGAAATCATCATTTGTAAACTAATCCTTATTTGTTTCAGATTTCAGTGTTCTTTCATTTAGACTGTTCAAACTTCAGTTCACTTGACGTTACCTACAAATCTCCTTCTGTTCTCATTCTTTCCTTCTCGATCTTTCAGCTGTCAGACGTTTGATTTCCGTTTGATATCATATACTACTTATGTGAACATAAGTAGGGTACATCACAGTCATGACTTCTCAACAGAACTAGTAAGTTAAGTAATGCTACAGTTCTATTCATCATTTAGGTGACTATTAACCTGATTACACAGTAAAATGCTAATCCTACCTGGAAAAATTTCATTTTATCTAGAGTAATTCTATATTGATATTTCTATCATTTTCATACTGTGATGATTTTACACAGGAAATGACTTGCTTAGAAATTCTACAAGATATTACAGTCTATGCCTTATGCGATACGAGTCGCAAATGATTACGTGATTCTCATCACTTTCTCAAACTTACTTTGTAGGTTTATTTATGAATTATTGATTTCTATGACAAATATCGAATGCTTTAACTCCTGAGGGTGTTGTTAAAGAAGTATTTACATTTTAGGTTCACAATGATAATATTTGAAAAGTTGAATAATTATAATTGGAACCTCAGGGCTTATAAACTGTTATCGATTTACTAGGAGGTCAAGATGATCAGTTCTTCGTTGAATATTTTCAAAGATTAGACTGATTTATTTTAACACACATATTTGTTGTTAGGAAACGAGTACTAGATAAGTATGACAGATAAATAGATGAAGTACTGAGTCTTCATCAGTTGAGGTGGTTAGGACATGTGTTACAAATGATCAACCAACGAGGGCCTCGACGAGTAGGAGTAGGTCCTGGAACACAGACACACACATAGGCCTCCAACAATAATTGTGTTCCCCGGCATTAAGGCTGCATTTGACTTTGTCGATCATGAGGTTCTGTGGCAGTGTCGTAATTAAAAAATGTAACTAAGTACATTAAATTTATACAAGCTCTCTGGTCCAGTGAGAGCTTATGGCGAACTGTCACTGGACTTCTTTATTTCGAGTGGTGTACGTCAGGAATGTCCACCCCCTCCATTCTTGTTTGATTTTATCATAGACATGCTCCTAAATGTTACCTTATCCTCGTCTGAATTTTCAGGAATACACCTTCTACCAGGGAAATCGCTAGCTGACTTAGAATTTGCCAATGACATAGTTCTATTTGCTGAAGACACTGACAAAGTGCAGAGTCTTCTGATTACCCTAAGCAATAATGCAAGCATGTTCGGAATGCGGCTTTCCCCCTCCAAATGCAAAATGTTGCTTCAAGATTGGGTTTCGTCGGCACCTGAACTAGTGATAGGAAGTGAAGTAGTCGAGCATGTTGATCGCTTCGATTATCTGGGGAGTCTCATCAGTGCTGATGGCCTGGTGACTGACGAAATCTCAGCACGGATACAGAAGGCTCGATTGGCTTTTGCCAACCTGCGTCACTTATGGCACAGGCGAGATATCCGCTTGTTAACCGAATGACAAGTGTACTGCGCAGCAGTTCGCTCTATCCTACTGTACGGATGCGAGGCTTGGTCGGTAAGAGTAGAGGACTTCCGTAGGTTACTAGCCTTCGATCATCG